AGCTGGGACAATATATTTTGGGGCTCAATATTTATCATGTGTACAAGTGGTGAGATTTGGGATATTTTTGTTGTAATATTTGAGCTCCAGAGGACTAAAAAAGTGACTTCTGTGGCTAATTATTGCTTTATTTATTATATTATTTATTATTTATTTGTTGCAACTCATGCCTTTTGAATGATGCTGTCTATTTAAAAATGCTTTACTGGGATTATCTTGCATTACTGTTACTGAATCAGTGGCATAAAGTAGTTTCAATAATATTGTTTATTGCAATATATCATGCTTCAAAATTTGTAATTTTGACAGGCCTCGCAATGTGCTATGCAAATATCCATCTATTCTTAGTATAAACCTCCCCAAACATTTGTATTAGTTTAGAAAATCATATTCATCTTTTTCTCAATGTTGTTTTCAAATGGTAATGCTCTTAGATATGCCAAAGTAACAGTGCATGTTGAACTGAATCCTGATTTGTCAACATATTGCAATTTTGTATTATTTGTTTCTTCCCACAATTAACATCATGTTCATCATCAAAATTAAATGTTCTGTGCAATGATTTTTGTTTACATCCCCCATTCTCTAATGTAATATTAACACCTATACTTCTCTGTATCTGTATACAAGCTCACAGTTCTCACTTACTGACTTGGTTGCTTGATGTAAAATGCAACGCCACAGAAATGCATGAGCTCTGCCAAAGAGCATAAATCAGCCTCAGAAACAGTGAGTCAGCAGCGGCCTGGTCCATCTTGAGCAGGTCGAGCTCTGTTAGCGCTTGTTGGTGGCAATCATTCATTGTGTGTTTATGTTAACTTCAGAACAACAGAGCTTTTTATTATTACATACTGCTCCCCTAAGAATCTATTCTTCTGGTCTTGTAAATTATGCAGTTTGTCATTCCTGGCCTTTAGGATGTTTAGGTGTGGGCTGGTGTTTTATCACAGAGAGCTGGTGATTCATGTGATCAGTATGTCAGTGTGTCAGACAATGTGACGTTATGCACCAAACCTAGACCTATGTCTGCGTGGAAAGGTCTGTATAGGGCTGCTCTTATCACATCCCCTTTTCAAACCTTTTAAAACTGTTCATGTCAGTTTGTGTTATGATTTACATTAAAAACAGGGTGGGCAATGTTGACTAAAAGCAATTTCTCAATATTTGAAATTTATCAGAAATGGGCAAAATTATCCTAGAAAGAGGTGGTTTGTATTTGGGTGTTGCACAAAATGGGAATGGACACAAAAATGAATCACAGTACAGAAATTTCACTTTATAGCCCTGTTTGATAGAACATTTGTTTTATTTTCTCACATACTTTTTGCAGCTTTTATATTCTAGACATAGGTATGATATATCCTCAATTTAGAAATTGTCCCCAAAACTCTACAAAAATCTCCTAAACAACATTGTGCATTTTTTGACATATCTCCCAAGAAGGCAAGTGTATTCATTGAAAATTGACACTCAATATAGGTTGATAAATTACAGAAAAAATAACATTTAGTGGAAAATGCTAGTCTAGATATTATTGTTGAAAATAAATATTAAGAATTACAGACTTTTCTGCATAGTTATATGATTATTTTAAATCTCAAGGACTGAAGATACTCAATTAAGAACTATTGATATCAAGCAGACATTGTCTTCATGTGGTTTGTTCAATACAAGTTCTATTTCTAGCCTAATTATGATTATATTGAAGATCATAATTCCTTATCGTTTCCCTGAACCAGACCTTGTCAAATATTAATGCATTTTAATGTTCAGTTGTCCCTTGCCATATAGTCCCATGTTTGTCATTTCAATATCTCAAAGGCAAAATAATCCTGTTAAAGGTTATGCAATCGATGTTGAGGTGGCTCCTATCGACCAGCGATGCCATTGCTTCTGCTGATTCATCAGTGAAAATGCTGAATCATGGAACCTGAACATGTGCCCTGATCAGTGCTCTATAATGAAGGCTGACAATGATAGTTTTACACTATTTTGCTTTCATCTTTATTAATATTCAGAAATACATTCACTCTCATTACAGCACTATTCACATGTCACAACAGCTGATGCATATTATCTATGTTTAGTCAGCGATATTTTGAGTCCACTAACGTACAGTAGACATTACATTGTTCTTCTGTCATGTTGCAGCTATGGAGCTTCACATAACTTTCAATATTAGTGTGCAGACTCTGGCAGTGATATTATAGCTCTGCATTAGTGTTGAATATTGATTTTGCATTTGAAGGCTGTTTTGCCACTAAGAAGTTAATTCACTAAATAGTTGAGAGAAACAGAAAGCTCTGAAATGACCTTTATGAAACTAAGGCTAAAATAATGTAAAAGCATGTTAGTAGACTGTGAGTATGTATTTTACTTCTGTAGTGAGATATATATTTTGCCAAAAGAAACATTACTGTAATTGCCTAAAATATAAAAATATATACCTTATGATAAACACACATTACTAGTTGCCAAAATGAATATAAAACCAGGATTCATTTGATAAACGGTGGTTGATTAATTTGACAGGAAAATCATGCACATATGTCAAATAAAGGCCAGTTATTTTCACCAGGTATACAGTGCCTTCTTACATTGGTACACTACAGTCCAGTATGCAGGCTGTGCTGAGACCTCATGTCTACCTGCCCAAACAAAGGTACCTCTATGCATCCGCCGGTGTTATTTGCATATGTGTACACTCCAGGGTCAGGAGTAGGAGTGGTAGTGGGTATGTTAGAGACTGACCGACAGCATGCTATATATAGTTTACCCCCCCCCCCCGCCCCACTCTGCTCTCTCGGGGCAGTGTTGAAATTCCAGCCCCAACTCCTCTGGTCAGATCTCCACAAGCAGTAAGCAGACTTTAACTTTAATGACTACTGACAAGAAGAAGAAGAAGAAGACACTTATCAACTAGACGCACTTATCTGTCCTGAAACTTTTTACTGTCCAGTATCTGCGGTTTTCAAGGTCACGCTACAAGGGAAAGTTTGGACCAGTCTAAGCTACAACCTGATAGTTGGGTTATGGTCTCATGTATCTCTTCAACATGGGGCCCTCTGCACTTTGCGATCAATCTTTTCTGGAACAAGACTTTGGAACAAGCTGCTTGACTTTTTAAACTTATACTTTGAGGCCTTCAGTGGCTTCCCCTGTGGATACAACATGACGTCTCAGCTAATTTGGATGCAATGTTGGATATAGCTACTGCTCTACAATGGCAGTACACATTTTTAGCTTTGGTTGAGCCTGTCTTCTTGCATTTATTTTAGGATTTGCCCGCCTAACTATCATGACGGATGTTGATGAAGATTTTATTTTGATACTCACTTGATAATCCGACCAGGTCATCCAATATAGTTTCCCTTGCTTTACCTGTCTTGTATCAACACCATGGAGGTTCCAACAAAATGGAGCAGAGCTAGCGTCATCAGCTTCATCAAAGGCCTTGGTAAGCATAGAGGGCTGTATATTGTTCACGTGCACTCATGCTTGCATCACGCTAGCGATTCTGTTACACACAAACAGGCCTCCAAAGATGTCGGCAATTAGTCCTGTTTCCTCTCACCTCATTGGGGAAACGAGCAGGGAAGGGTCACATGGTCAACAGAGGTCAACCAGCCCCGACTGAGAGCCTGATTGAGCTGTCCATGTGGGGTTTAGTAGAGCTACGATTGACAGTTGAAATTATGTTACAGGTATAGAATAAAAGTACTGTAACAAGCAAATATTTCGTCAAGATGAATGGTTACTTGAGTAAATGAAGTAGTATTTAGAAATGTACTAATGCATTTTTACACTCAAATCTGTGGATACCCAGATACTAAAACAAATATTGAAAATACATTCTAAGTTGAAGAAGTACTGATACTAAAAATGTTGTCTACTAGAATTAGATTACATGGTAAATGATAAATACAGTAAACATCATTTTGCATTGAAAATTAAACTGTTATCTAAAAACAGTTTTATTATCAGTAAGGTTTAAACATTTTTATCAAGCTAGAATACTACCTAACTCTAACCCTTAAATCATTAACCCTTTGACGTACTTGGTGAGCTTACCAAACAAACTAGTAATCAACCATATCTATTGCAGTAACTATTACCACAGCTACTACTTCTGCAACTACCACTATTAATACTACTACTTAAATTCCTACTCTATCAGCAGCCAAAATGTGATAGTAATACACATGTAATTGAGTAAAGCACAAAACTCTGCTTGAGTAAACATATTTTATAACAAACAAGAAATATATCATGTATAGTCTTCATCTCTATAACCTCTCTATACTGTATTCATATAATCAATTCAGTGGAAATGTGATGACTCTTTGAGTAATGTTTTTCTATTTTAGATATATGTCAATGTTGTGTGAAATGAATGACAGGAACAGCCCCTCCCCCGCTGTATATCTGTCAGTTTGTTTGTTGTCTGTCTCACTAATGTAACCTTTTAGACTGCGCAGTATTGCTCCAGATGCCATTACGTCTTATGAGAGCTATCGGCACGCTCTATCAATATGATGTAATCCCCATGGAGAGACGATAAGGTGCTCTTGACCAGTTGGTGTTTGAGAATCTGGAAAATGTATTCAGTCAAATGTGCCACTCTCTTTATATAGCACTAAATTTAGTCATGGCTCCAGACACTTGGCTTCACTCCAGGGTTTATTTACTCCAGCACAAATGCATAAAAAATATGTTCTAATTACGCTCTGAAGACATTTTAAGTTGGTCCATGGTACATTACAGTTCATTTGTACATTTTGGTAATAGTTGATTGTTCATTTTGTAGCTAGTGATTGTCTGTCTTTATGCTTTTCCATTGGTAATAAGTAGGATTATATACAAAATTGTGGCTTGACAGAAATGTATCAGTATCTCTCGCAATCATACTGTAGGTGCACTGTAGGTAGACTTACATAAAGTGTGGTATATAAATAGTTTATCTTAAATAATTAAATATGTTTTTCTGTCTCTGCCCATAGCCTCTCCAGTGGGTCTGAAGCCGCCCGTCCTGCCCGTTAGTGGAACAGTGGAGAGAAAGGGTCCTGTCGTCATGGCGCCGGTAAACGTGGACCCGGAGAGTAAACCGGGCGAGTTCGTCCTCAAGAGTCTATTTGCAAACTTCACCCTGCTGTCCGAACGCAAGATCAGGATTATCATGGCCGAGCCGCTGGTGAGTTTTCTCTCTTCTGGACGGTTACTGTTTTCATTGGGTGGATTTACATCGCCAGAAAACATCTAGAATTATCAGATGTTTATGTCATTTCAATAGTCTGATAACTCCAGAAATCAGATAATGGTCAGATGTTTGGTGTATGTAAACATACCAATTGTCTCAGATATTTTGTGCTGCAACTTTTTATGTATGACCATATAACATTTGTTGGCATTGTATGGAACCTGTACTATTCTATAATTTATCGTTCTACCTTCTGTTCCTGGAATGTGCATAAGGGTGCAAAAGTTGCATGAAGGCTTTGTTTTGAATGTGTGTGTTTACTGATTTGAAGCTCTTCATATTTTATCAGTCAAATCAAGGCTGTATTAAGTAATTGAAGAATCAATTACTATTTAGAGAAAAAAGTGGATACCACAGTCAAACCAAGTGTAAACCTGTAATTTTTTTGTTATAGTGTAATAAGGCTCACTTGAAATGTGCATTTTGTGTCTTTCAGGAAAAACCATTGAACAAGTCTCTTCAGAGAGGAGAGGACCCTCAGTTCGATCAGGTCTGCACTTGACACTGTGATACCAGAGTTAGACTAGGAATGTCCTGTTCAGATTCAGAGGTTAATCCTAGTCTCACTCTTAATCTGTGTTTTGTGCAGTTGATGAGCAGCATGAGCTCTTTAGCGGAGTACTGCCTGCCCTCCATCCTCAGGACCCTGTTTGACTGGTACAAGAGGCAGAACGGACTGGAAGATGAATCACACGAATACAGACCGCGGGCCAACACCAAGTCCAAAAAGTAAGAGAAAAGTTGTTACAGGAATGTATAGCAGTTAAATTTATCACTATATTGTCAAGGCCAAGTGTAGGCCTTAAAAGCATTACACTTTAAGTGCCTTGAAGGTGGAAAAGTGCTATATATAGATATGTGATCATTTACCATAACCATTACAATTTATGGGCATGTATTGATGCTTTAATGTAACCACGGTCCATTTTTTTTTAATGCAGCATCATTAAAAAAAAGAAAAGAAAAAAAAAGCTGTTTGTAAAACTTTGTTGAAACAACACTTAAGAAATTAGTAGATAATTATTGTATACTTTGACTGTGAACGTAAGCACAATTAGTCTGGTTTTGGACGAGGAGCTAAATTTCATCTTTGGCACTAATATACGTTATTAGTACTATGTATGTAAAATCTTAAGGAAAAGTATTGATTATCGCTTCTGTGATGTCTGTTGCAGTGATGAGCAACAAAAGGACTATTTACTAGAGCGGAGAGATCTGGCAATCGACTTCATCTTTCTCTTGTTCTAATAGAAGTTTTAAAACAGGTGAGTTAATAACTTTAAATTCTAAGTCAATGTTGCAATAATGTTATGTACCATTTCTTCAGTACGTTCTATTTAACTTAACAATAGGCTTGAGTCCACATTTCTGTTATTGCTCTTGCACTATGCAGAGAGCCAAGATGCTTTTTAATATGCTAATGTATTGGTATGGCCTAAATATGAAATGTGATTATTATTTCAGCGCTTGGGTGTTTGTGCATACCACTCAATGCGACAAAGATTCTTCCATATCTGCTCTATTGTCATAACATCTTTCATTTAATTTTAAAATAACCAATGACCTTGTCCTTTTATTCAAGATCCCCCTTCACCCATTGTTAGACGGACTCATTCAGGAAGTAATCAACCTGGCCTTCAAGCACTTCAAATATAAAGAAGGGTAAGATCCACTAACAATATATTTTTATTCTTTTATTTCTTATTCATTAGCAGTTTACAGAACATATCTTATTTTAGGTATTTGGGACCCAACACTGGCAACATGCATATTGTGGCAGACCTCTACGCTGAAGTGGTTGGAGTTGTAGCCCAATCCAGGTAATTGAACCTGCAACTATACAACAAAATTGATTTTTTTCTGTTTATGTGGTGTTTGGTTAGCAATACTACAAATTACTTATTGGACCTATTTGTGTTGATGGTTGATAGAAACTGCATTTGAGGCCTAAATTTACTAGCCACAGTGCTTTAAAAATATCTTAATATTAAAAATATCATAATTTTTTGACCATGTCTATCTAGAGAATGTCTACTGAAGCAATGTTTCAGTTGTAAGCATGTTCACCCACCAAAACTAAGGTTGGTGGACTGGTTTCTCCTAGTACATGCTGTTAAGTCAGGCAAACACACCTCACCTGCATCACCTTAGTACAGAGGCTCCGTCAAGGGGGGCGCGTTCCTCGGGGAACATGCTTTTTTATTTATTTATTTTTTTTTTTTTTTTACTGTCCTAGAATAAAGTGCAATTGCACTTCCACTACATTAGGGGGCAGTGGCGCTCTCATTGGCAGAGTGTGCGCAGGGAGCATTCGCTCGGTGGTGTAGGAGTTTTGTTTGCACACAGAACAGAGTTTGAGTATGAAGTGTAGACACGAAGTGTAGCAGACCCTCAAGTGACACCATGAAAAAATATTTAACATGGATGAGAAGACAGGCGGAGAGAGACGGAGATAAAGAGACAAACTAAAATCTCCCGAAAGCTAAGACGAGGAAATATGACGAAGCGTATGTAGCGCTTGGCTTCACTGTGACTACGGTGGGAGACGAGGAAAGACCGGTGTGCTTACTGTGTCTAAAAATGTTGGCAGCGGACAGCATGAAGCCCAATAAATTAAGGCGTCACTTAAATACATTACACCCCAATCACTCTGATAAGCCGCTTGAGTTTTTTCAGCGAAAACGTGCCAAATATTGCCGACAATCATCCCGCTTTGTGACTGCTACTTCAGTAAACCAGTGAGCGTTGTTGGCATCATATAATGTGGCAGTGTTACGCAGAGGTGTACTTATAACAATTTTATAGACAAATGATACTATTTATAGTCACGCGGGGGGGCGCGAGATGTTTTATTCTTCCTGGGGGGGCATGACAGAAAATAATTGAGAAGCACTGCCTTAGTATGACTGTTACAGCCACACTTTTGTCAGTCTACCCCAGGGCAGCTATGGATACAGAGGTAGCTTTCAAGGAATTTTAAAGTAACACTGAGCATCTGAGAAACTTCTGTTCATTTTTTTATTCTTCTTAAATGCTCTCCAATAAAATATTATTTGTATTTCACTACTACAGCTGACCTTATGTGTGGTTGCTTGTTGTGGCTTTTGTGTTACGTAGTTGTAGATATCCAGGCCACATTTGCAGCTGTGAAAACCTGAATATGCAGTAGCTACCTGTCCTCCTTTTGACCCCATTCACACCACAATTACACATGGCGTCCATATGTCTTCAGGACACAGAGAAGTGCCTGCCTGCTGTGGGCCAAGGCTGAGTGTATGTGTTAGAAACATATGAGGTTAATGGCACGTCAGTAGTATCAATCTATAACTGTGTCTTTGAAAGTGCTGTCTTTTTAAGTTCAGTTTGAGGGATTTGGTGAGAGCTATTGATCCAATTTTTTGAAACGGGTCACAAAGTTCTAGAGGTCAAACATAGGCATGCTGTAGGTTATACTCATTTATTCAATGTGCTTTATACTAATAGGAATTACGCAGCCTCATGCTTTACTGTGTATATCCAAGCATTTGTCAGTATTTGACAACATCATAACAGCAATAACAGGCAACTAAAACTTCAAATCACTCAAATTATTAAACCAATTGTGAGAAACATTACAGTGAAAATACCGATTAATAACCACTCAATTTTCTAAATTTCAATTACTTCCTTGTAGAATAATAACATTTAAATACTGAATAAGCATGCCTCAATTTTAAATCTAGTGATCAGCAATCACAATTGGGAGTACATTTGTTTTTGATCCTAAGCCAAAATAAATTGAGAGTGTTTCACTGGTAAAATTATACTCAATTAATTATTATACTGTATATTCATAATGTTATATTGTAATTATAGAGCACAGATACAGTAGCTTAAAGTGTTGCCATACTTTATTGTTGCCACTATTTTTCATACATACAGCCTGCCTAGAGCCTACAGTGTTTATTTGCTTCGTATTGAAACACTCAGCGCCAGACGTGATCTTGTGATGACTCCTCCACTTACTTATCAGCAGTGCCAGCCCATGTGAAGCACGCCAAGCCCCATAGACACCAGTGCATTGGCCCCAGAACAAGCAGGCACATACACATTCCCAGTACATCACCCCTCCACATGCCTTTCTAAATATAGACCGGGCAGTCGAGTCGTGTTGGTAAAATCTGTCCACATGGAGCCTATCTACTGTAGACACAAATGCCCAAATCTTAAACATTACTCACTGTTTTTTCCTGTTTTAATTATGGCGCCTTTAAGACTTTGCTTTGAAAAATGTTACATCTAATAATATTTAATGGTTTGTTTTGGCAGGTTCCCAGCTGTCAGGAAGAAGTTTATTTCAGAGCTTAAAGAGCTAAAGCAAAAGGAGCAAAGTTCATATGTGATACAGTCTACCATCAGCCTGATCATGGGGCTCAAGTTTTTCCGAATCAAAATGTACCCAGTGGAAGACTTCGAGGCATCCTTTCAATTCATGCAGGTAGTGTTACATCCTTTAAAGGGTGTTAAGAACTCATATTTCAAAATGATAAAGTTCAATGTGCTGAAACTCAACAACAACAACCATTATTAAGCAAATGAAACAGGGTCCAATGACATATTTGGAGGTAGATTTATTATATTTGCCATCTACAGTTGCAGCTGTCATCTCTTTCCCTGACAGATGCAAGTTTATGACTAGAAAACATTTTCAAAGAGTTTTACTCTCTTAAGCATTGAAAAATTTGCTGGATCAGATATCAGCTTCCAAATATCAATATCCTCTTTTTACCTAGAAACTGATGTAAGCTGTAATTACTGGTTGTAGTTGGCCCAGGAAGTTTGATAATGTTTGCATTTTAATTTATATTTTTGTAGCTACTTGGTAGATAAATAACAACTACATAACACATTTAGATTAGTTCTGTGTTATTTTATTTTTGTATAAAGAAAATAAATGCTGTTACCAGTCTCTACAATGGTATTGACTGATACTGGTCTCAGCAGATACTTGAAGCCTGTAGGTATCAAAACAGTGCTAATGCATGAGTGATGGAAAATGTCTTTACTTGACCAAGGTCCCTTCCAGCATTTACAACACAATACTGCGTGGTAGCACTTAGCCACATCTGTACTGCAATCCTTTCGCTGCTGAGAAGTTCCAGTGAAGTAATTAGAGGTTAAGTGCTCTGTTTATTGGTTTTGTGATGGTGATTGCGCTCCTGTTTCCCATTTCCGCTCCTGATAATGATTCAGGGTTTTACATCAGTAGCATTTAGGAAGTATGTATGCCAAAACAGCCTTTTGTCACAGCCACTGATCAGGTTTGCAATCTGCCTCTCTCCTCAGGAATGCGCACAGTATTTCTTGGACGTGAAGGACAAAGACATCAAACACTCGTTATCGGGACTCTTTGTGGAGATACTTGTCCCTGTAGCTGCTGTAAGTGTTTTTAATCTGACTGTTTTATGTTAACTGGACAGACATTTGGCAGACATAATTTGGCTATAAAACATTTTACTGGATTCCAATTGATATTCCAAGGGTTTACAACTTCATAAATTTGCTGTTGTCACTCTAGAAATTAAAAATGGCATCTGACATTGTGGGCTTCTTGATAAAATATATAAATAATTAATGTATAATAAAATTACTTAAAAGTTTGTGTAAGTATAAGTTGTATTTGTTGTTTTTTGCAAGTTATTGATTTGTAAACCTCACCGAATCCCAGAGAGTCACATGCCTGTGCCAAATCTAAACCTGGATAACTATGAGACTATGGTTGCATCCGGGAAGGCAACTGCATTAAAAACCAAGGACACACAAATAAGATCAACTATTGCTGTGACTCACTCTAATCTGTTTTTTTCCCAGACTGTGAAGAACGAGGTGAATGTACCGTGTCTGAGGAACTTTGTGGAGAGTCTCTATGACATCACACTGGACCTATCCTCCCGAAAGAAACATTCGCTGGTCAGTTCACATCCCTGTACTCTCCGTCAATACACACCTCCATTCATCCTGCAGACCTATTAACAAGTATGTGAAGACCCTTAGTGTAGACCTCCAACACAGGGGCTTTTATCCCTATAGGAGGAGACAGAAGTGTAGTTAGGCTCCACTGGACATGACAGGCTCTAAACACTGACAGATGGGTACTGTTTTGTAGCAGTAGGGAGGCACGAAGAGGAGTCAGAAAATTGGAGACAATATGGAAATTAAAACTATGGTCACTCAAAGAGACTGTAATCAAATGTTTAATTGAGGCAGTGCATATATTTAAATCCCATTATCATCTCACAGTATTATGTTTTCAGGAGGTAGGATTTTGTAATACTTTGATATATGTCCCAGTAAACCACAAATAAATGACACTGATGACCCTTTAATTGTTGTGTAAGCTACCTAAAATCTGGTAGGTTAACAAAGTTTAACCTTCCAGAAAGTTAATATCAAATCATTTTACAGTACTCTGTTGCACATACTTAGTCAAGCTGGCGCCACCTAGTACCTCCGCTCAATTTCATTTCTCTCCAGCAACTAGGTCAGGAATCATAATACACTAGATGGTTTGCAAGAACCCTGGAAGTTGTAGACCTCGCACTGGCCAATCAGCGAATAGCTGTGAAGATGTATCGGCAAACTCAAGCACTTGTCGGGGTCCTTCTTGTGGTACAGCACAACAGTAAATAAAGCAGTCGAGATGGATGTAAACAAAGCCATACATTCTGTACTGGCAATGATTCCCGAGATCAAGGATTTAAAGTTGGAACAAAGAGAATGTCTGGTGAATTTTTTTCAAGGGGAAAGACATTATTGCCCTTCTTCCTACAAGATTGGGCGCATTACAAACGTCACAACCACATAGCAGCGACTGGTTAAAAGTACTTGCCTACTGTCAAGCGAATGAATCCTAAGGCCAGACGGTTTCCACGAAGTGAAACCGGTTGATGAGTCAGGCTAGCACATACCTACCTCATTAAGTACAATGTAATAACCTGAAGTAACAATATAATACAATTTTAATTTGACCCATTTAACTCTTAACTCCTAACCGTAACTACCATGTGATAACAGGTTATGAATAGGTTGTAGTCGTATGGAGTAGAAATGAAAAGTGTGCCCATATAATTAAATAGAAGAATTTTATGTGTGACTAAACATATTTAAACTATGATTCATTTTGCTGTATAAAAACAAGTCTAACGTATGATCGTACAACGAGATAGCAGTAGTGGTCTTTATATAACAATTGATGTATTTAGAAACAGCAAAATCAACTACCTGTTTCTTAATGCCAAAGTCATTGCACAAGTCACCTATTAATAGCTATAGTCATAGATCCAAATACTTAATGCCCCAAAACATTCCAGGCTTCCATACCTGTTCAAAGGCGTCTTTGTTATGGGCAGTCACCTTGTGCCTTGAAATATGCCTGTCATGAACCTGGAAAATTCTCTAAATTCTTAAACAAGTGGAGAATGCTTGGCTCTCTTAAACATGACCACACCTCCGCGCACAGATTTGATGCTTGGCTCAGACGCAAACAACAACATGTGAGACTAGAAGGAGCTCAAGAAATGTTTGGTATGATCGCGATTAGTTGAATTTCCGTAATTGTTATTCCTCCTAACTGAGCCAGACAATGAAAAGAAAGACATCAAGAGACAGGTATCAAGCTCTCACCTTGATAAGAGACAGCAGTTAAATGCGTTCTCCAGGTTTGACAAAGGTTTTAATACAAGGGTGTACCCAAGCCCACAGCCACGGTTAAACAAAGTATGATCTCAATGCTGTGCGAATAGGCCACACTGGAGGCCATAGAAATGGTGCACTGATGACATGTCATAAACAAACTAAACACCCAAGTTAATCTGTGGGAACCTTATCTTCCATCTGTACAGACACCTTTGGGCTGACATGCCTCCCAGACTGTAAAAAAAAAAAATTATTAGGTTCTGTAGAGGAAGAAGAAAAACTTTTGCTGGTATACTGAGCAAGTTTTTTGGGGTTTTTTTTGGAATACACCAGATATCTTGTTTTTTTTTGTTTGTTTGTTTTTTAATCTGTCTATATTTAAAAAATAAGGTCAGAAGCTAATTAATATATTAATATATTATGTTAGGTAGGATACAAAAGCATTCAGAAATCTGGGTTCAATGTAATGAGTAGGTCATGAATATGTTTCCTATATGTCTCATATATCTATAAAAATATCTATTAAATCTCATTATGATCTCATTATTATAAATCATAAATATATTACTTTGTGTCCCTCTGTGTCCCCTTCAGGCACTGTACCCTCTGGTGACCTGTTTGCTGTGTGTCAGTCAGAAGAACTTCTTCCTCTGCCGCTGGCACATTTTCCTCAACAACTGCCTTTCAAACCTCAAAGTGAGTTTTTTTCTGTTTACACTAAATACACTAAATATAATGTAAAAGACTCTATTTGCATTAATCACAAGGCTGTTTAGTATACTCAGATTTGCAACTGTTGAGATCATAAATAACCAAGCCTGCTGACATTTTTGCTATGACTGAACAATTTGGGCAAAATGTCAGATGTTAGATTTTCAGTGTATCCTTTAAAATGTCATACAACCCTTACAAACACTAACAAATTAACACACAGTAATTGCATTCTTCCCTCTAAAAATATCTCCTATTTTTTATTACATTATTAGAAGTATTAGGAGTATTAGCAGTGTACAGTGTGGACAGGAATGTAGTGCAAGTTCAGATTAAGACTGATTTTAAGGTTATGACAATGGACTATGAATGGCATGACAAGCAGCACTTATTTTTGTTTGAGAGCACTCCCTGACAAATGTAGATATCTGTGTGAGGGGTAGGGCAGACACTTATTTAATACAAAAATATATTTTATTCGACAGAATAAAGACCCAAAGATGGCTCGTGTGGCTCTTGAATCACTCTATCGCCTCTTATGGGTTTACATGATACGAATTAAGTGTGAGAGCAACACTGCAACACAAAGGTAAGAGGCATGCTGAGATGAGATTTGTTCAAGATTATCACATCAAAATACTTAACCTTTGTTTACTTTTTTTTTCTTTTTCTAGTCGTCTGACGTCCATTACCTCCACACTGTTTCCAAAAGGCAGTCGCAGTGTTGTTCCCAGAGACATGCCTCTAAATATTTTTGTCAAAATCATCCAGTTTATTGCACAGGTTTGTATAAAAATAAAAATTATACTCACTTGATACATCCATAACATGAAGTCCTTTGGTATCTACTCAAATGGCTTGCTACTGTAGCTATTATTTCTAATTTGCTGAAATTGCAATATAGATATTGCCCCCATAAATTAGACAAGCAACAAAGCATGACCAGTTTACAATTTACCAAAGTTGTCAATTAATTACATTTATGAAAATAATAAATGCCATTATATATTATATAAATGCTATAAAAGTACTACTTAATTGAGAAGACTTGATAATCACTGGGTAGGCCCCAAATCTAAATAGACCGCAAAGCTATACTTCTAGATCTGTTTACCTCTTTGCTTCATGCCCATTATTTAATTAATGGATCAAGTCTTTGCCTCTGTTTTCCAAATCAGGAGAGACTGGACTTTGCTATGAAGGAGATCATTTTTGACCTGCTGAGCGTTGGGAAACCAGCCAAAGCCTTCAGTCTGAACCCTGAGGTAAAAACAACATAGTATCAATAACACACACACATATATCAGGCAGTTCAATGCTGTATCCTCTGAGACTACAAAGAGGAGCATTCCTCATTTTATTTGTATTTGTCTGTCAGTGAGTCCTATGAAGAACAGTGTGTGCTCTGTTTCAACCTTGACATACTTTGCCACTATAGAATATGGTAATTAAGAGAGTCAAATATCTGAATTGCTTAATGCTTAATCATTTTGAAGGCTATTACACTAGTGTATTTGTATCTCAACTAATGGATGTATCTAATTCTGAAAACAATTCTCTTGATGGGTTTTTGTTTAATGAACCAATTTGAGTTTTACATGGCATTTAAAAAAAATAAATAAACATGAACCTTTCTACAGCCTTTACCTTATTTGCACAAATACGTATTCAAAACTGTAGTTGCTCCTTATAGACTATAGGGAAATGAGTGTATATTTTAGGAGTGAACGCTGCATGTTGGTATTTAATAATGTTGACTTACAGTATTCGATTAACCCATATGAATAACTGTTGTGTATTCCAGCGCATGAACATTGGTCTGAGGGCATTCCTGGTGATCGCAGATGCTCTACAACAGAAAGATGGAGAGCCCCCAATGCCAAACACAGGAGCCACATTGCCATCAGGAAACTCTCTTAAGAAAAAGAAAACATATCTTAGTAAAACTCTGACAGAGGAGGAGGCCAAGCTCATCGGCATGTCTTTGTACTATTCACAAGTCCGAAAAGCTCTGGACAACATCCTAAGACACCTGGACAAAGAGGTGGGCCGCTGCATGATGCTGACCAGTGCACAGATGCTCAACAAGGAACCAGAGGACATGATCACGTAAGGAACCCTTTTTAAATGTGCACTGTGTAACTTGATGTAAATGCAAAATAGATTAAACATTAATAGATTAATAGTTTAATAGTTTAAACATTCCAGACAGAGCAATAATTTCTTTGGAGATAAGTAGGCTGAGGACTCTCCACAAAAATTACATAGTGCTTTTTAAAGTTAATTTAGAAAGCGATATCAGCAGTTTTAAATATTTGAAAATGGAAATAATTATAATAGCACATGTTTGTAACTCCATTCATCTTTTTGTATGTTTTTTATCGTACCTTTCCCTTTACAGTGGTGAGAGGAAGCCTAAAATTGACCTGTTCAGGACCTGTGTGGCAGCTATTCCCCGGATTCTCCCTGATGGGATGTCCAAACCCGAACTGATTGACCTCCTCTCAAGGTAAAAAAGTTTAATTATGTGATATTAAAATGTAAACCTGAAAAGTTAGCATTTGTCTAAAACTAAAACTGTTATACTGTATGCAAGTATCTTAATCTATATTGTCTTTTCCTTTAGGCTCACAGTGCACATGGATGATGAGCTTCGTCTAATTTCTCAGAATTCCTTGCAGAGTTTGCTACTTGACTTTTCAGACTGGAGGGAGGACGTTCTGTTTGGTTACACACATTTCCTTCTGCGAGAGGTATTATCAAAATCTTATAGATCCAAATCTATTACATATGCTTTACCATAATTTAAATAAATTACTAGGCAAGGCAATATGCACATATATAAACTGTCAGAATGAGAGAATTAACCTTATTATTTTTTGGATGACATCATCTCTCCCTCCTCTTACCTGTCCAGGTGCAGGATACACACCAGGGTCTGCAGGATGCCTCAGTAAAGCTCCTTCTTCAGCTCCTCACTCAGTGGAGACTAGCCCTTCAACTACAGGGGAAGATGAGAGGCGGAGTGGAGGTTTGTATACAGTCACAATACCTCAGATCAAATGATTCATATGTATCACGTTTGTCATAACTCAGTAGATTACATGCCACCTCTCTCCCCCTCTCCTCCAGGCCAGTCCCCGGGTGCCTGATAGATATCCTCATTGCTCAGTGCTTCATGCTGTGGAGGGCCTGGCTCTGCTGCTGCTCTGCTCCTGTCAAATTAGCACAAGAAAACTGGCCGTGGGGGTTTTAAGGGAAATACGCTGCCTCTTTACTGCCCTAGGACACGCTGAGGTACCATTCCCCATGTGCAAATATTTCATTTAATTTTCATTTTAATGTATTTTAATTACATTTTAAATTAGTTAATTAGGCACAGTATGAAACATAAGCTGTAGCTGTAGGATGCAATTTTGGTACTAGTAAGTGCATGAAAGAAGTCATACACAAACTATAACACCCACTGCATTTTTATTTTATTAATTTAGTCCCATTAGTACTATTAAAAGATGTCATTTTCAAGTCCTGACCAAGAAGCAAATAGCGCCACAACCCACAGATTAAATATTTCTTATAAAACAGATGATGTACAGTTAAAAATGCTACATAAATAATGATGGTTAGAAATACATTTTAGGACAGTGAAAATATCATATTTCTTCTTTCTTGGTTATCCAGAATTGTGTTAATTTAGATACAACATTTATGTAAAAAGGAAATCATAAACTGTGCTATACCATTAACATGTATCAACCAGCTAAGCATAAGTTGAAGCCCACATGGGGACAGAAAGATCAGACATCATGGTGCAAATGCCCTCTGACTGTAGTTGTTATTACAGATGCCACATGCACATGGCACACTTTTATAAATAGCTGACAGTCTAAATGTGTTTGGCTCCAGGATGACGACAAGCCCATGATCGAGATCATGGACCAGCTGAGCCCAACAGTAATGGACAGCATCGTTCATGTGGCTGTGTCAGACTCGGTAAGTGTTATCTTCAATTCTGCATTTTTATTGGGTGTGGAGTGAATGAATAATGCAGTGTAAACCCCCTTGAGTATCTTAAAATACATTCAATCCAAGGTAGGAGGGGGGCAGTATATCAAAATATTTATATTTGATATACCAAATTGTTATTTTGAATATGTACAGAATTGGAATAGGGAGTGTATGTACTATAATGCAAATTACAGTTGTCCAGTACTCTTTTGATCAATACTTGAACCTTATCCAATGCATTTAAGACATGTTTTAGCACTTTTCAGATTGTTTGAACGAACATTATCAATTTTTCCTGAATAATTATAGGTGCACTTTGTAACTTTGCACTTTGTGTCCTCCACCAGTTTGTCTTCATGGATATGTTTTTTTTTAGTTTTTTTTTTTTACAAAACTTATATAGTTAGGAACAGGTCAGAAGTTAGTGGTTTGATTCTCAAGGCGACTCAGTAGATACTCTTGTTATATCCTTGGGCAAAACACTTCACCCACATTACCTTCTCCAGTTACAGCCAGCATCTAGTTGTGACAGGAAGGTGATCTTGCATAAAACATGATAACCCTGAAAGCCAATATGTTAGTGTGTATGTTGAGTCAATACAATCCTGGATATGTATTTCACTTTTTGAATTGAGCTACTCAAGCATTCACTTTACACAAAATTTGACACTCCTTGGTATAATTTACATTGAAGTTAGACTTGGTTGCACTGTATTCTGAATAGTCACTGTCCTCTCTTTAGTCCACTCTTCCCCTGAGCCATCATGTGGACCTGCAGTGGCTGGTAGAGTGGGGAGCGCGCCTCGTGAGCAGCTCCTATGATGTGAAGAGTCCCAGTCATGTCTGGATCTTTGCCCAATGTGTGAAGGACCCATGGGTGCTCTGTCTGCACATATTCTTGAGACAGGAGCATCTACCCAAACACTGTCCCGTCGCTCTGGGATACGCCTGGCCTTATGCTTTCACAAGACTACAACTGCTACTGCCTCTTGTTGACCCCAAGTAAGAAAATATCCTTTTGTAATCTGCACCTTAAATGCAGTGATCAGTCATAAAATGAAGACAACCAGTGTATTAGAGGTCTTGCACTTTGTATTTCAACAATTACTCTTCAATTTGAGTTGCAGTCGTTTGATTTTGTTGGACTGGACAATAACAGTTTCACCATCTTTTATTAAGCAACCATTGATAAATACTGACCACTGCAGATCAGGAACACCTCTAAGTTTGGAGATTAGTAAACATTTTTATAATCAATTAAAATTTTCTTTTAATCTTTTACTAAAGTAAATAATTTTCAAATACTGGTATAGTTCTTATATTGTACTAATTCATGAACATCCTGCCACATATACAAAGAGTTGTTCCTTATTAGAGTTTGGTTTAGTCTGGCCTTTTGTGACTGATAAGCCAAACAAATAAATTATAAAGCAATATGCATTCAGCCATTAACATGTACCAGTGAAGAGACACTTGAATAGTTTTGCCTAATCAACCTTATTCCAATATTTATGTACAGAATGTTTATGTCATATAATGAATGTTGTACTTACGTTTAGATATAATACAACATTATTTTCCTGAGAGAGATTATTTTTCAGAAAATGACTGTATACTTTATTTCCAACAGCAGCCCAGTAAATGCCAAAAAGACGAGCACCGCAGGCTCCAATGACAGCTACATCTCTCTGTGGAGAAACTACCTGATCATGTGTCTAGGTGTGGCAAAGCCCAGCATCATGTCTCCTGGGCACCTGCGGGCCTCCACACCTGAGATCACCGCCACCACCCCCGACGGCAGTGTAACTTACGACAACAAGGTCTGTGTGCCCCCTGCTCCAGGAAGTACGGCAAATAATACTCCTTAAGAAATACACTTGTCTGCATTGTTCTGATGGAGTGATCCTTAGACAACTGAAATGCAATAAATTTTTATTTGGGGTTGTTTTTATATATGTTTTTGATGGTGTACAAAACTGTCAATGAGTACAATACATTGGTTTTATATTGTCACAATGTTACTTGCTGTTTTGCTTCAGGTCATAGGCACTCCATCTGTTGCCTGGCTGTTGAAGCAGCTCGTACCATTGATGAGAGTCGAGAGTTTGGAAATCACTGAGTCTTTGGTGCTTGGATTTGGGTGCACAAATGCCCTGGTATTTAGGTATGGCTTCATTAATTCATCATTGCACCTTTTATAAGTCATGAATTACTGGTGGATATACCTAAATCGCTACAAATGCTCAACTATAATCAGCATGGAATTTAAATATATATGCAGAAAGATTTAACCTTGTTTTAATTTCATAAAATGATTTAATGTATGAACAACTGAGAATAAACACAAATACTTAAAAGGACTGAACAAATTTGCCATCATATCAATGTATCATCATATGTAGATGTGACTATAAGTATGGTATTAATAGTCACCCTACATCAGTACCATACTTATTTGGTGAAGTAATTTAAGTTCAATGATAATTAATATTGCACTACAATAGAAATATTTGCTAGATTTGAATGATGTCTCTTACATAAGAACGTCCAAAGGTACAGCCCAGTGTGCGTCTTCAATTTCCCCATCTGTCGTTGCATTCTCGTCATAACTGAGATTAGCAGCATGCCTTTGTGATATTGTGAGAAGGAAAAAAAGCATGGCAGATCAAGAAAGTGAATTCTTTGAGGGGCTAAGATGTATCACATTTTTCACAAAGACAGAGGCACCATTGTAAAAGAGGGCTGTGTCTTTTTGTCGGGAACCATCTAATATCAACCTGAAATGCTTTCCAAAAAGGGACCATTGTTATTAAAAAGATGAAGGTCATACCAGTAAACATGACTTTCATTATTACGTATGTGAGGATTAATGCCTTGACTGTGACTTAAAATGACATTTAAATGGATGGTTTAGTTCAGCAGAGGAGTACAGCTGCCTGACTTCTAAATTCTGCTGCTAAGCTGTGCTTGTTTCTTGATTTTAACGATTTACAAATAGATTTTTGCTCTATTGATTTGTAGGGAGTTGGTTGAAGAACTCCATCCACTGATGAAGGAGGCACTTGAGCGAAGGCCTGAGGTAAAAACAAAGATTTATGGTTAAAATACTGAACATCTGTGCAGCATCTGTGCTTGAGATTGAACCTGTCTTTTACTTTTTACTGTTTGTGTACTGGGTGTTTTGAATTATACTGTTACATAATTTAGTATTTATTGAGTGTTTTAAATTATACTTTTACTTTGTTTAGTAATTACTGTGTTTTTAATTATATTATTACATGATTGTTATTTAACTGTTGCAGAACAAGAAGCGCAGAGAAAGGAGAGATCTTCTGAGGCTACAGCTACTGAGAATCTTTGAGCTTTTGGCTAACGCAGGAGTTATTAGTGACAGGTACTTTGAGTTTTTGTTTTCACCTAATCATGTCCCTCTTTTTAGCTGTAATTCATTGCTCGACTAAACCTATTTACTTCTTTAACCTAAAACCAGTTACTTGATTGTTAAAAAGATTAAGGATTAAATACCAAAGGGCAGTTGGTTGTACTGTATTATTTGGTTGATCAAATTTATTCAAATGAAAGCAACCAAATGAAACCAACTTTGTGAATGTTTGTGTTCAGTTTGGTCTTGAATTCAGAAATCATACATAAAGTGGAGAGGATCACTGGCTATCTAAACATTTGTATATGTCGTAACACTTAAACCTAAATCTCAATATTTTACAGCACAAATGGGGCCTTGGAGCGCGACTCCCTGGCTCTTGGTGCCTTGTTTTTGGAGTATGTGGACCTGACGCGGATGCTCCTGGAGGCGGAGAACGAGAAGGAGCTGGAGGTGCTCAAAGACATCAGGGCTCACTTCAGTGGGATGGTGGCCAACCTCATACAGTGTGTCCCTGGTAAATAAATACACAAACTTACAGATACTCTAATAATCCTAGTAACCATTTTGAAGTTTAATTTTATGTGTAGTTTGTATAATCTTGACATATTATGGTATGTTATACATATGTAAACACATAATATTTTTAGAGAGATTGAATTCCCTGACTTAGAATGCTTTGTAACATAACTTACTTACTATATAACCAGAACAGGGTTCCTAATCTAAATTCGATTTTTCACACACCACTAACATCAAAATAAATTCAAGCTTTTTTTCCAAATTTATATTCCAAACTTTTTTTATTGCAAAATATATACTTCTATCACACAAAGACAAGTTTGTGTTTAATGCATGTATTTTTTCATTTGCAGTGCACCACAGACGATTCCTCTTCCCTCAACAGTCTCTAAGGCATCACCTGTTTATTCTCTTCAGTCAGTGGGCTGGACCCTTCAGTGTTATGTTTACACCTTTAGACCGATACAGTGACCGAAATCACCAAATCACACGCTACCAGTACTGTGCCCTCAAGGTAAAAAAAAATGGGGCACAAGCTAGTTCAGATTTTTCCAAATTATGTATGATATTTAATTTGAAATGTTTCTTTTTCAGGCGATGTCAGCTGTTTTGTGTTGTGGACCAGTGTTTGACAATGTGGGTCTCTCCACTGATGGCTATCTGTACAAATGGCTCGACAACATCTTGGCCTGTCATGATCTACGGGTATGTCAGCCTACTGCAATGTTTCACTTATTTATGTTAGAAAACTGCTAAAAAAAAAAATTAAAAAAAAGGTCAAAAGTCTGGCATTTAACAAAACAAAACATTGACTAGTCTGCTCTGCCCTGCTGCTAAACCAGATACAATATAGAAATTCAAATATTGTCAATGTAAACAGGTTAACAAGATACTAATACTTCTAATACTGTGTTTTTTTGAGTAGTATAAGTGGTACCAGCACTAGTAGTTGTTTATTTGTCTGTTTTCATATTACATTTAATTTTAATTTGCTGGAATGGCAGCCTTGGTTCTGCTTTGACTCTAATCACAAATGTATTCTTGCTGTAGGTGCATCGTCTTGGGTGTGAGGTAGTAATCCTGCTCCTGGAGCTGAACCCAGACCAGAGTAATCTGTTTAACTGGGCTGTGGACCGTTGCTTCACTGGATCATATCAACTGGCTTCTGGCTGCTTCAAGGCCATCGCTACAGTGTGCGGCAACAGGTCAGGAATTCCTATTATCTATCTATGTACTCAAAATGGCCAAAAACAGTGGAGCAACTTGCTAATAACTATTTTAATTGTGTTTTAGGAATTACCCATGCGACCTTGTAACTCTGCTCAATCTGGTGTTGTTCAAAGCTTCAGACACAAGCAGAGAAATATATGAAATCTCAATGCAGCTCATGCAGGTACGGAATCACTTTCTTCTTCTGCAGGCTTCTACATTGAATAAAACAATCAATGTTTTAACAGATTTAGCAAAAATAAGGCTGTTAATTATAAATCAAAAGCATTTATTTTTTATTCCAAACATACTGTAATCTAAAAATAGTTGTTTGTGGCATAAAAATATATTGAAGTGGGATTAAAAATTGAAAGCTGATGGTTGGCTAAAAGGATGGGGTCTTCTAGGTAACTGTGTGCATTTGATTCTTTTTCAGGTGTTGGAGTCAAAGTTGTGTGCTTACTCAAAGCGGATGGTGGAGCAGAAACCCGGGAATATTTTGTACGGCACCCACGGCCCTCTGCCTCCTCTGTACAGCGTCAACCTGTCACAGCTTTCTATCCAACTGGCCAGCATGTACCCAGAGCTCACACTACCTCTCTTCTCAGGCAAGCACAAGAATACTTTTGTGAATTAACTACGTAAAATTTAACTTAAACATTTTGTACTATTTTTAATCAGTTGTACCCTTGTGTGACCACTTTATGAAACAGTCCTTTTTATGTGTTTCTGGTGGGAGAGACCTTAAAATTTTTCTTATCTTTTTGTTTCTATCTCTTACATTCTGGAAATGATTACCACAAACTAACTTTTTGCTTTTCGTATCTTCAAAATTAACTGTACTAAGAACCAAGAACAAAATATTTGTTGACTTAACATACATAACACACAACAATCAAACTTTATTGAACTATAACTTTTCATGAATTTCATAAAGGCCAAAGTGCTTTACATAGACGATTAAAATCATTCCCTCACACCCACCCCCTGGACCCACCTACTGGACCCTGCTTTCAACCAGCCCACAATCAACACAGTCACATATAATAGTACTTGCCCACTCCCACCCACTCACACACACTTTCACTTACACGCACATACAGACTCAAAATGTTGAACATTAGACTAAAGATGAACTACCATTCTGACCAATATCTCAAAGAGGGAAGGAGATTCTGGCAGAGGGTGTGACTGTTAACAGATTAACATATGCCACTGCCAGCTGTAATAATATGTGACCTATGCATTACTGCTATGGAGACAATTATAGATTATGAAAACATGCCTATAATGACTTGATGCTGACAGAGAAGCCAAGAGAGTAATTGAATGCCCTGACCTCTTGATGGACATTTACGGCAATAGCAACTGTCAAATCAGGTTGTGGTGTATATTATATTGTGTTTTAACATATTTCTTTCATAAAACAAATTATAAAACATATAGACAAGATGATCTGTATTATATAAATAACCAAAATAATGGCAGGGCAAAGTATAAATCATATAAATAAAATGAATTTAAAGAACACCAACACTACAATATATTATATAACAAAGAGCAAAAAAATAAATGTTGTTAATAAATTCTAAATAACTAGCAAAAACATTAAGAGATAGGTGTCAAATAAAGCATAATTGTATAAATATATACGTACAAGACAAAATAAAATATAGAAATATATTAATACAAATATATCTCATCTATATACAAGAATATAAAAGGAAAAAACAGTGCAAAGATGAAATAATGATTGACAGGACATAGAGTTATTGGTTTTGAATGTCCCTTTGCTGCAGAGGTGAGCCAGCGTTTCTCGACCACACACCCGAACGGCAGACAGATCATGCTGTCCTACCTGCTGCCCTGGCTCAGTAACATAGAGTTGTTAGACACTGGACTCTTACCCCCTGCCTCCAGCCCCTGCACCCCCGATGAGGAGTCACGTGGACAGAACATGGGAGCCTCCCCCAGTCTGAGGGGCAACGGCTGGGGATCACTGCAGGCCACGTCTCTGGTGCTAAACAATCTCATGTTCATGACGGCTAAGGTACACATTTATCAGTTTATTTGATATGTTGACAATAATCTTTCATGCATCTGAAGTAGACCAAGTAAGCATAGCTAAATTTATAATTGCCACTAAGGTCAAATGTCATTTTTATCTTTTTTTTTAAATCTGTGCAGTTTTATTTATTTTACCCCAGCTGTTAGACAACAAACTAGCTCCTCATAATCAAATCAAATATATGAACGAATAGATGTTAATTCAACTATTTATTTACATTTCAGTACGGAGATGAGGTCCCTGGTCCCGAAATTGAAAATGCCTGGAATGCTTTGGTCTCTAATGAAAGATGGAGCAACAACTTGAGAATAACTTTACAGTTTCTCATCAGCCTGTGCGGAGTCAGCAGTGACACTACACTATTGCCTTATGTAAGTTTTTTCTTTACCTAGCCATATACTGAATTGCTGTGCTAATGTATTTATTTATCATATTTTAGATAAAGAAAGTGGTGATTTACCTCTGTCGCAACAACACCATCCAAACAATGGAGGAGCTAATATTTGAACTTCAACAAACTGAGCCAGTGAACCCAGTGGTATTGCATTGTGACAACCCTCCATTTTATCGCTTCGCTGCCAGTAACAAAGCCTCTACATCACAGACAGGTGAGACAGGGGTAATTATTTTGAAACCTTGAATTTGTTTTTTGTTAAACATGACAGATAATTAACTATTCTTTGTCACAGGAACCACCTCAAGTAGTAACACAGTTGTGGCTGGTCCCGAAAATCTCCCAGACACGGATGAGACCAAACTAGCCAGAGAGAGTGATGATCGGTAAAGATTCTAGGATCTGTTTTACATTTTCTATAAGCTAATAATTGGCCTTTCAGTTCGTTCATTATTAGTGCACTATAAAAATCTTACAACCAAAATACTATAGATTGGCTCTATTATCTAAGATGTTACAAATAGTAAAAATATTTCAGGTCAAAGGCAGTATATTCAGCATTGTATTATACATTTTTAGTAGTTTTACTTTATTTAATTATTTCACTTAAGTACTATTAGTCTGAATTGTGCTTTGTCTTTCACAGAAGGGCAAGGGCCCATAACAGACTGGAATCCCGCTACAGTAACAGCTCCGGCGGCTCATATGAAGATGAAAAGAGTGAGTCCATTTTGTTTTTTCTCATGAGAAAATGTCCCAGACACAGAAGCCCAGAAGGGTTCAGAGGCGACAGCCATATACAGAGCTCCAGGACATGGATTCTCACTGTCAGTCTCACTTAATGTTTTTGTCACTGATCTTCACAGTAATGGATGTACAAATTGCCTACTTTTGACAAATGGCTTGGTTTAAGTTCATCAGTATATAACATAGCACTAATGTTCAAACAAAATCTCAGGATTAAATCAGAATAATAAAACCTTTCCACTGTTGCAAAAATTATGAAAAGTCAGATGTTTGTAAAATTACAACCATTTCATATCAAGTTACATCCCTTATAATTCTGAAGAATTCTGGGAGAACAATACTTCTTCCAAACCAGTCAGAATTCTTCATCATGCACGTGAGGTAGACATGCATGATGCATGTAGTTACGAGACAAAGGTGAAAAGAATATCATTAACATCATCTTTTAAGGGCAAATAACTGACAAAGTGCTTAGGCATTGTTAAGTACCCAGCAGTCACACAATGCTGTAGGTCAGGGGTGTCCAAACTTTTTTTCATCAAGGGCCACATATCTAAACACAGACTAAGCAGAGGGCCGATTGAGGGCCGTAGACTCATGCTCATTGCAGTGAATATTTGAAATATGTGCATGTTTAACATGTTAGACTGAGCCATCAGTCTTTATTCAAACTAAGATCCTAAAACCACACACTAAATATTAGTTTATAAAGGTAAGATTTTCAAAAAACTAGCAATAAAAAGTAAATTTTTCATTGATGCAAGATAATTTGGGCCAAATCTCCTGGAAGCCTGAGGGCCAAGAAAAAATTGCCTGAGCTGCATTTGGCCCACAGGCCATAGTTTGGACATGTCTGCTGTAGGTCCTCCCTGTTTTGAGTATTTGAGTATTTATTTATGTGTTAGTGAAATATTTGTAATCTTAAGGGAAATATATAAAATCACATATATTTTTGTTTTTTGTAGCTGACCCTCTTCCCCCATACGCTGGTTGGTTGTTGAGTGTTTTGGAGACCAACCGTCCACAGCCATTACCAATGCCAGTGAACGGAGGGTGCTGGGCTCCTCTTGTCGACTACCTCCCAGAAACCATTACTCCGAGAGGGCCTCTGCATAGGTACTGCCTATATGTCAGGACAAACTGCTCTTCTGTCAGTTTAGCTATCAGTTTCTTCTGTCATCTGCAGACTTAGCACTGATAGGTATTTGCGCACAGCTGTCACACTTTCTACATATGAAGTGATAAAAATCTGAACAGATTTAAAACCAGTCAGATTACTGTCTCAGCTATGTACAAAATGACTTTATGAAATATGTTCCTCAATTAGCACCTGTAAAACCATTTTGAAAATTAGAACATTTTGACAGGAGTCTGTCTGTGCTGTAGGAGGTGTGAACAAGCTGTGCATTGCATAAGCACAAGAGTACAAATAAAGTATGTTAGGTATTACAATGCCAATGAAAGTAAATATTCCAAAGGCAGAAAAGGCAACATTAAAAGACAGCAATCCTGTCCCCCTTAATGAGCGTGGACCAAAAAATTATTGAACCCAGAAATGTAATTTAATATAATTAACAATTCAGTTCATCAAGTGCAACCAATGGCCCATTATACAAATGCTACATGAGACATGATTTAAATCCGACCACCATTACTGCCCACCTTACAAAAAGTTGTTCAAATTATTCGTTTTTTATTATTATTTGTATAATTAATATCTGTTTGACTTTATTGTCCCCTTTTCAGGTGTAACATTGCAGTGATCTTCATGACTGAGATGGTGGTGGACCACAGTGTGAGGGAAGACTGGGCCCTGCACCTGCCTTTATTACTTCATGCCTTGTTTTTGGGTATGTACCACATCAAAACATTTATTTATCGTAACACACACAAAATATTTTACCTCACTTGCAGTAATGATTGTATCCAAGCTACATGTAAACATTTACTAACATCGGTGTGTGAAGATATTTTCTATGATGTCTAACAATAAATTAGTGTGACAGGAGAAATGCTCCTTTTTATGCAATAACAATACCTCAGTGCCACAATCTTTTGAAATACTTTGTGTCACATTCATTTAACATCAGCTGAAAATGAATACCATACCATCTACCATACCATACCTGACAATCTTCATCAGTTTTATCCTAGTAATGTCTTTACCATGAAGGATTCAGTAGTTCTACAAATACTGCAAAAATAATTGACTTGTGTTTAAAATTTGCCAAATATTACAGGATAATACTTATGTGTTACTTTGCTAGTTTGTAAAAAATAATTTTGCTTAATATTCATTTGTATGTGGCAGGTCTGGACCACTACAGGCCTGAAGTTTATGAGCACAGCAAACGCCTCCTCCTCCACCTGCTCATTGCCCTCTCCTGTAACAACAACTTCCAAGTCAGTAGTTAGTTTTTGATAAATGATTGCATTTTTTTTTAAGATTAGCAATACTTACTACTACTAAATAGCATCTGTTATCTCCAGGTTATAGCTTCTGTGTTGATGCTGACCAGAGAAATTAGTGACAACAAAACACTCACCATCAAGTCCAGCTACCACTCAGAGTACCAGCAATCAAGTAAGTAACAAAACAAATTTATATTATCCAAAATATAAAAATGACTCAGCCTTGCATTTCATCATAGCACACATTCAAATCACTATGAGTCATGCGTTCAAGTCCTGACATTGACAATATTCTCCTCCGACTCTTAACCCCATTTGTCCTACTGCTGTCTAATAATGCAGTTAAGTATCTATAACTGATACTTGTCACTGTGTACAGGTGACCAAAAAGCTGTTAATAAATGCTACTGTTAGGGCGACCATTTTAATAGATTTGTCTTATGTTAAGTGCTTCTGTTTATTAAATCCTCCATTGTTATAGATACTCCTGATTTCCTGAGAGAGTGGCAGGCCTCTCCAGTGGCAGACTCTGGGCTTAGCTCCACCTCAAACTCCTCAGTGGCCAGTCTGGGAGGAGGCAGCACTGCAGGCAGTGTGGGAAATCTACCCATTGTTACCCCCGATGACCTGGAGGACCTTGAGGACGCCCCCAATGAAAATGACGAGAAGACACACAAACTTATTGAGTTCCTCTCTACAAGGTAAGTGCATCACCAAAGCTGTTAGAAAAAAAGGTCTTATAGCCCGTATTGGAAATTATTGGGTAATTTGTTTTTCATTTATTGGATTAAAGCTTTTGACATCAATATCAGGCTAATTTTACCAAAACACACTGGTTATAACCAGATAACTGTTTAAATACAATCGCTTTATCAGCCAAAACATTCTAATAACTATGGAGGCAGGGAACCTAAGTCATGAAATAATGGTTGTAATCGTCCTATACCATAAAAGTCGATTACTAACTGAAGTACTTTTAAGCAAGCCTCTGTTGTGTTTATTCGTGCATTTAAAATGACACAATGCATATTAATATTACCGATACATGTTTGTAAAGCCATAAGTTTGTGTTAGACCCTGTGTTTACAGTGGGTATAAAGCATGTATAGAGTGTGTGTGTGAATGTTACATATTACTGTTGTGTTAATGTGTCTGTGGTGACATGGTGGTGGGTATACAGTGCCTGGAGTACTGTGTTGTCCTTACTCAGAGCCTTTGGGCCGCTGTGGGCGCATGAGGACATCACACCTAAAAACCCCAACTGTAAGAGCTCAGAGCAGCTCTCCAACTTCCTTCGTCATGTCATCTCTGTCTTCAAGGAGTCCAAGTCGGGTGAGAGAGATTATTACTTTTTTAAACCTACTTATTTCCTGTACAACCATCATTCATAAATGCCAACTTGAGCAGACCAACAGCTCATTTATTTATAAAAGTCATGTCAAAGCAAAGCAAAGTTGTATATCGCTTAAATATATATTAAATATGTAATATAATTTTAATAATTTTACCTATTATATAACTGAAAGTGTTAGGATTCTTGTAGGTCTGATTCCAAAGGTTTTAATGGTCAAAACACATCAAATGTTTTACATAACATAAGAATTTGAATAATTACTCCAATAAAGTATGTGGTATAAACTGTAGCTAAATCTCAGCCAAAAAGTAGATAAAGCAAAAACATGTTATTTCTATTTGATGTGAATACTATTATTTCCACAGATTTCCACTTGGAGCAACAGCTGAGTGACGTGGCGTTACAGACAGCCCTGTGCAGCTCTTCTCGTCATTATGCCGGACGGTCGTTCCAAATATTTCGAGCTCTCAAACAACCCATCAACAACCACGCAGTGTCCGACCTGGTGTCCCGACTTGTAGAAGTGGTGGGAGAACACGGGGACGAGGTGCAGGTAAGGGGAAAAAGTCAACTTATTGATCTTAAGCCAAATCATGACTTAAGATTTTAATGTAATTTATGTAAATATTCTTCCAGGGCTATGTGATGGAGGTGCTGCTGACTCTGGAAGCAGTGGTGGTGAATCTGGCAGAATGTTTGAAGAACAGTGACCTAATGGCAGCTCTAACCAGGTATTCAAATAAATATGGAGTAGTACTAGTAGTATTGCTACAGGTAGTAATAGTTTGTACTAAAAGCTGTGCAAAACTCAATGTATAAAAGGTCCATTCTGATAAATTACTGCATATTCTTGCAGGACATCTTCTCCTGACTTTTTGTTGAGTGACAAACTGATGAACAGGAAGAGCACAGGACAGCTGAACTTCCCAGGACCAGGATTTGCAGGTTTAGCGTCACAGCGACACCAGCGCTCCTACTCTGTTCCCAAAAAGTTTGGAGAATATGGAAACCTCTCTAGTGACCCCCCTCGAAGTGCCACTTTAGACCGGATACAGGCAAGAGTAAATATTCAAGCATTTTATTAATTGTTAAGACATGGACAGGGATTGCAGTGGATAAACCAGATCCTTTTACTTTTTTTTCTACTTAACAACACCATAAACTCATAGACCAAGAGATAATACTTGCTTAGTGCTGTATTGTTAAAAATTAAATAAAATAAATATGAAAAAAATAAATAAACAGGAACTTATCTTGTACAGTGGAGTACCTGCTGCATAAAGGCAAACATGATCTTTAATAGCACTTCATTAACATTATATTTTGTTTTGAACATACAGGCATGCAATAATGGCCTGGCACGGGCAGGGAGGCCCCCAGGCTCCTGTTCATCGTCGACCAATCGGATTGATCCAAGTGTTTTATCAGACCCCGCCCACGTCTCACATCCTTCGTCAATACTCGCCACTGTCTTCTGGGTCGCAGTGTCTCTCATGGAGTCGGACTTTGAGTTTGAATATCAGATGTCCCTCCGGCTGGTTCATAAACTGCTTTCAAAGGTAATGGCAATACTAAGTATATCCTGTATATCCTGTATATCTTGTATATCTATTCTATTCTATTATCCGTATCTATATATATATATTGTTTATATACAGTTAAAAAAGGTAATTTTCCAATTGCTGCAAAGCATTAGTTGTTGTGATATTAGTAGTACAGGTTATAAAGAAATATTCTGAAGTAACAGTATTTTCATTTGCAGATTAAGTACCTTTTCCATTGCTTATACAGTGTTATCTTTCCTTCACAGGTACCCTTAGACAGAATAGAAAACCGTGAGCGTTTGGAGAAGCTGCAGGCTCAGTTGGGATGGAGTGGTTTCCCGGGGATACAGCAGCTCTTACTGAAGGGCTTTACATCGCAGGTGACCTCTGACCTCACCCTCCAGCTCTTCTGCCAGCTCACCCCTGTGTCCCGAGTGGCCGTGGTTGACAGCTCCACATCCATAGGTCTGCAACACTACACAGAGGAGAATAGTTTTTAGTTATATCCATGGATTAAACTTTGTTTTTGTTGTAGGTTTTCCTCTGAATGTGCTGTGTCTTCTGCCACACCTGGTCCAGCATTTTTCACATCCAACTCAGTTTTGTAAAGAGAGTGCTGAAAGGATTGCACAGGTACAAAATAGTTTTCTTGTTCCGAGATATTAAACAAACATGAAGTTCAAGATATTACTGATACCAAAACTTTATGCCAGCCCTTGTGTCAGATTAGGCAATAATAATGTTAGAAAATCACATAATTAGGAATGTACTAAAATATTATATTATCAGCGAATAGTCTGAATAAGTTCTTTATAAAGGGTGCCAATATTTCAAGCAGTATAGGTCTGTGTGTCACATTAAAAGTTAGAATAACTGGTACTAAACCCAGAACTAAACCTGCTCTAGATCTAGACTAAACTAGGACTAAATCAGGGTTCAAAAGAGAAAGTGTGATTGCACCCATTAGAATTAGAATTAGAATTCACTTTTTAGTAGATGATGATATATTATTAAATAAATACTTAATTATATTATTGAATTAACAGTTGTTTTTCTTTTCTTTTAGGTCTGTTTAGTAGAGAAAAACACTAAACTGTCCCATCTAGCTCATGTGATGACACTCTACAAAACACGCTCCTACACACGTGACCCTTTCTCCTGGGTTAGTGTGGTTTGTCGCTACCTCCATGAAGCCTTTTCAGACATCACTTTGAACATGGTCACTTATATGGCTGAGGTGAGCATCCCTAAATATACATAACTTATTTTATTACTAACAAATTTGTTCTGTTATTAAATGTTTTTTCCCATTTTTTAGCTGCTGGACAAAGGCCTACCCAGCATGCAGCAGTCTCTATTACAAATCATTTACTGCCTCCTGAGTCACATGGATCTCACTGCGATACAAGTGAAACAGTTTAATGCAGATGTTATGAAGACTATTGAGAAGTTTGTACAGGTAACAACCATATTATTAAAATGTGGGATTTTGTGATCAACTTTGCAAAATTCTTTACAATTATAGTAATATAGGTTATTCATTTATTTTTAATTATTTTGCATAGCATATTTCAATTACTTTTAGTACTTTTTACTTCAGAGCTTTATGTTCCAACTCCACAGACAGTGCATTGGAAAGATGCCCTAAACATCTTGAAGCTGGTAGTATCTCGCTCTGCCAGTTTGGTCCATCCTGTTTACAGACACTCAGACGGTGACCTCTCAAACCTGGAGGTCAGCCGTGTGTGGGATGGCTCGGCTAAAGCTCTCCCAGGGAAAACACTGGACTTTACATTTGACATCTCAGAGGTAAGGAACAAAATATACCACACACGTGCAAAGGTTTAGGGCAGGTGTGAAGAAGTGTGTGAAGAAATGTTATATTATTCTTTTGTAGACACCAGTGATAGGTCGGCGGTTTGATGAACTCCAGGGGTCTGGAGGCAGAGAGGGCAAAGCCAGAGCGATGGCAGTGACTCGCAGCACCTCCTCCACCTCATCCGGATCAAACTCCAACACTATCCTGGTCCCTGTCAGCTGGAGGCGCCCGCAGTCCTCACAGGTACAGTCCCATCACAGGACACCTCTAATGGGGCTGTCACTGAAGGAGCAGATTTAGCCTGGAGGGGTGTCAGTCCTGAGATAGAGGAGAAAGTGCTCTAACTGTACTGTCTTGTTACTGACTGTCTGAGCTGCCACTGTCACTGTAGTACAAGTGAAGACATGTGTTGGGCATTTTGAAACAGTGGTTCCCAAAAAGAGGAAAGAGGCCTAAAATTTGGCAATTTTAAGCCTTAATGCTATTATAATGAAAAAAAGAAATAAATACTTTGATCTTGAAGGAAATTCAAGCAATTGGCAGCAGCAACAATGAAACACACAGTCAGCACAGCAGTCCATTCTCTTACAGTCATCATTTATAGCGATGCATTGTACAAACGTATGGGGTGTGGGACAAGCGACTTCCAGAGTCTGTCCATGGAGCACAGAGACAGAGACAACAGCCTGTCCCCAAAGGTGCTCTCCTGTCCAGTAATGTTACTGGGGGTTATTGGGGATAGACAGGAGCTTGTTTGGGGCTCTCTTCTCAGCCACAGATGTGAGCCAAGCTCTGCACCCACTACAGATCCTGCCTTCCTCACCAGCTTATTCAAATTGAAATATGGGAATTTTAGAGACTTTTTTGAGATGAAATAAAAATTTTATAGGAACAGAGCAAAGGCTGGTACGTTTAGAGAAGTCCATTTTACATATATCAATACATATCAATATATATCATTACATTTGTATGAGTTCAAATCTGCGGTCTGATTGTATATTCATGGCTTCATCAGCTTCCTGTTATATGTGACATTTTAAGGACTTTTCACCACTAAAAAGATATAATATTTAGGTTTACAATGTTAATCGCTATGACAACAGTACTAATGTTTAATTAAAGCCACACATGACACACATGTTGTTCAGTTACTAATTAGGCTACTTAATTTTAAAAGAGAAATACCATTTCTATGACAGTGACAGTTCATCCAGCGAAATAATGTGTGAATTTGTTGAATATTTCAAGTGTCACAAACACCTTAAAGTTATGGTTGAATTACTGTAATATCTGTCTCCTAGAAACGAACCAGGGAGAAACTGGTAAATGTCCTGTCACTCTGTGGACAGGAAGTTGGACTTACCAAGAACCCATCTGTAAGCAGGCTTCCTTCTATACAAATGATTCCACAATTTTAACTAAAAATGTAGTACACTTATCCATTTTGCTTTAACCATTGCATCTTGTTCCTCCAGGTGATCTTCTCTTCATGTGGAGACCTGGACATGATGGAAATGAGAGAGAGTGGGGTGTCCTCAGAGGAAGGAGGGACAAGGGAGGACACTCTGGATGACACCGCAAGTGAGCAACAGTTCAGGGTCTTCAGAGACTTCGACTTCCTGGACGTGGAGCTGGAGGATGGAGAGGTGAGATACATGTTCAAGATGTTTTTTTCATTTTTGGGGCAAAAGGTAGGTAGTTTTGTTAATTTACTGAGTCCAAATTCAGCAGTTACAGTGATTTCTAACTGGTGGATAGAAACCTTACCCATGTAGATCATGGGTAAGGTGTAAATTTGGTCAATAAAAATCTTTTAACAAACTGTGTTCATATTAATTTCGGGGATTATTTAAAACTAAAGATATAGCCTTCTTGTTTCCACCTGGACATCGCTAGTATGTAAAAGTAAAATTACCATAATTTTAGAATTAATAGGCTTGTCATGTCATACAATTTGTTGTAGTCAAAGTTATGGCGCAAGCTTCTTCTAGTATATTCTAGTAATTTACACTATACATTGTAGCGCTTTTATCATTTTATCCCACTGCTTTTCTTATATGACACATTATAATGTTTGTCTGTAACCCTGTGTCTCTCTCTCTCCCCCTTGCTGCCTCAGGAGCTGCAGGTAAGGCCCCTCACACTGAGCACGCTCACTAGCCTCCATCAGCTCTGTGGTGTTGCTGGCTTCTTGTTCTTTTATACAGTTATTTTATTTTAATAATTTATTCAGTCATGGAAACTTGGATTTTTGTTGCGCTTTATTCGCTCTTACAGCTTGGTTTCAGAACTACAAACATTTCTGGCAATATTGATACTTGTCATAAATGAGAAGTATATTTTTGGGGTATAATGTACCTTTTCATGATATAATACTTTTTCTAGCACATTTTCATTCCTTAAATAACATTTGTGCATCTTGTGCTTGTCAGTAGACACATAGAAACTGTTTATTCTCTAAGCAGGGCATTCCTAGGGTTTAAGAAGCATTTATTCATTTATTTGTATTTTTTACGTTATGCTGCAAGCAATATCAAGTTTTTCAATTAATCTGGCTTTTGCTAATATGTAAACATATTTTTAAGAAGGAAAAAATCTATTCAATCAGTTAATCAAGTAACTATTCTGCAAATTGTGTTGGAATTTGGCAGTTAATTATAACCAATTGTGACATTATACACATTTCTTCTTAATAACTCTGGAGGTGCCCTGACAGAAGAGCAATTTAACATAGACATACTTTAAGTCCTTCTCTATAGTGTTTCCCATTGTCTGTCATTGTGCTTGTTTGTGTCTTCTCCACAGGGTGAGAATCTGGATAACTTTAACTGGGGAGTACGACGGAGGTCTCTGGACAGCACTGAGCTCGGGGACCTGCTAGAGGAGAGTCAACATTCAGGCAGCACCCCCAGTTTGGGCCACGAAGACCCCCATGATACAGACGAATCTTCTGAGGAAGAAGAGTCCTCCACCAGCCAGAGCCTCTCTCACTCTCAACTCGTGAGTGCTTTAAGTGTTTGATCAATACAAGTTTGACACACACAGCTCACACATCGATTAATGGAGGTCTTTATTTTCAAGATAAATTGGTCTCTTCCCTTCTAATTTAGCTACTCAAAAATGAAGAGGTTTTAGTGAGTAACTGCAGTGGTAAATCTCTAAATGGTAAATGTTTGTCACTCTGTGGACAAGAAGTCTGACTTATTAAGAACCCATCTGTAAGCAGCCTGGTAGTTACAGGCCTTTTATAGAAATAATCCTTACCGATGTTCATCTTGAATCATTGCACCTTGTTTAATATTCAAGATTATTTAAGCTCTCACGCTTGAATTTAGCTCCTCAAAATTTAGAGATTTTAGTGAGTAATTGTGGTGGTAAATCTCTGTTAGGTTTATCTAAACATTGTAAACAAGAAGAAAGACAAGAGATTAATTCAGTTTTACTCGCGAGGAGAACGGGCAGAGAGTGGGCATCTCCTCTTTTTATTTCATTAGGAGGCCCTAGTTACAGAATGATAATTCTCAAGGGGAAGGGGAAACAGCCAATACATAATAAGAAACTGGTGCAGCTATGCATAGTCCAAACACATAAAACATGATTAACAATCAGGGGGTGCCTTAGGTATGGCCAGACACCATCATAACTCTTGCATGTGTGACAGTGGAAGTTGGCTTCATGTGAGGAATCATCTCGAGGTTCACTAGAGCGATAGGACACTGCACACAGTTGTCAAACACACAGAGGTTATTCATTTTCATACAAGTGATTGGTACATTATAAATCAAAGAATTGTAGTTACATAAATGGTTAACTCATAGGCATAGAATATCACACAAGTATTTAGCAAATATGGGATAATACAATTATTCTGACATTCTCTAAAACTCTGTGTTGTTTTCTTTTGCAGACAAATCCATCTCCCTCGGAAGAGACCAACCACACTGACTCTTTGTCCACGTCCTACGATACATCTGCTGATCCCCAGTCCCTCAACGCCACTACACCTGGACAGGGAGGGCTGCATGACCTCCATTCTGCTCTGCATGTAAGAGATAATAACTATGTACTAGCATTACCTCTAATCTAGTTATTTTATTAATTTATTTTATTTAATTAAGTAGTACTGTTTTTCTAGTTTTTACTAAATATTGAGAGTTTTTGAGATTTCTTCCAAAAAGTCTTGCTTTCTTGCCTTTTTTTCTTATTAATATTTGTTTCCCAGCTTTTGTTCCATACTGCACATGTTTCTATTGGTTTTATTATCATTGATTGATGCCTGTGTCTTTAGGGGAGGGGTTGTGAGGATGAAGACACTCAGGCTCAGGACGATGAGCTGTCCCTCAGTGCTCATGAGGTCCCCCCGGGTTCCGACTGTGGAGAGAGTTTCACCCTGGACCTCCCGGGACAGGCCCAGGACCAGCTCCCCAGACTGGGACAGCGCTTCAACCGTGACTACTGCCAACCACCGCTGGACTTTCTAGACCCTAACTGTCTGCCCAGGTAAAGAACTGTTATTTGATTTATCATGACTGTGATTTTAAGACACAATTTTATTTATGTATCATTTTATTTATGTTTAGATTGTTGTGATTGTCATTTTCTGATTTGATAATCTGGTCCAGAGTACAAGACAGTTGCCTTAACTTTTACTTAATTCAATAATATGAATATTGTCATGTATGTCAATATTATGACATACCTGACAAATTACATATTCACTATTCAGTAGTTTCATACAATTTGAAGGAGAAAACAATGTTAGTATTTTCAATAGATTTACTAGCACATGATAATTTTGAAAACAGTTTGGTGGGGTACCATGACAATATTACAATGATAATTCAAGCTGGTTTTCAAGTATTTTATTGATGAAACCACGCTCATTAAAGTACCAAACACCCACATTATTTTAGTTGTCTTTACTGTAGTTTTCTCTATTTCTCTGTGCAGTCTTCGTGATGATGTGGATGACTTGGAGGATCTGGGCTTCCCTCCTCCTCCGTCTCCGTTTTTCTCTGCGATCCTGGCGGCGTTCCAGCCTACTGTGTGTGACGACGCCGAGGAGGCCTGGCGCTGCCACATAAACCAGCTCGTCACAGACTCAGATGGGTCCTGTGCCGTCTACACTTTTCAAGTCTTCTCATCTCTCTTCAAGGTTAGACCAAGAAAATAAGAAACTGCTAAATGCATAATGTATATGGCGTTGTTAGGGGGAAGTTTTTAAATGAACTATTTTCAACTAAAATTGTTAATTAACTAAAGTAGAGCTTCAATTAAAGAACTTTAACAACTAACAATGTTTAATTTGCCCAAAGAAATGTTTGTGGCCCATACATACATATAAAGAAAATAGCTCTTGCACTGCCTAATAACTTCTGTGAGAAATGATTAGTTTGCCGTTAGTATTTTAAATGCTGCATAGGAAAGCTGTACAAAGTTCCCTATAGCTAAAACTATTTAAACTACTTGAAATTAATTTCTTGTTGTTAACAGAACATTCAAGGGAAATTCTGCACCTTGACGACAGACGTGGCAACATATCTGGGTGAGGGGCTCAGAGGGATCGGGTCAAAGTTCCTGAGGTCTTCCCAAATGCTCACCACCTGCTCCGACTGCCCCACCATCTACATTGATGCGGACACTGTAAGCAAAGCTATGCTATTAAAGAGCTTACAATAAAATAAATACTTAATAGCAATTGAATGGTGCTAATAAACAGGTTTTATTTTTAGATAATGTCTTATGGCCTTCTTGAAAAGATCAAGTTTAGTGCACTGGAGCTACAGGAGTATTTGGACACATACAACACCAAAGAGGAATGTGCTGTTTCGGTAAGGCTATGCTTATATTCATAGCCATTATATTAAATGTACTATTTAAAATAATTGCTCTCATATTTGTCAAAATACTTAATAATTGTGTTTCATTTTCAGTGGTTGAGGAACTGTAGGGACACATTTCCCAGGTGCCCTGGGGACAGTGTGGTCACATGTCAGCCTGGAGACTCAGAGGAGAAGGTACAAGCAAAAACATCCTTAAGTGGATAAAGGATTGGATTTTTAGTGGTTGTATTGTACTTGGATGTAATGACAATATCTATTGAATTGGCAAAGAAAGTATTTTTTGTGAACATGTGGACTTACTATGAAATCAAATAAATTGTACTAGTGTCCCAAGTATCATACAACCATCTCTTTAAAATCCAAAATTATTCTTCATAGTGTTGGTGCTGACTTCCATCAGTATTTTAGAGTTTTTGCATGCTTTTGAAAGGGTGTATTATCTTTTAATAATATTTCTTGTAAAGGTCTACTGAATATTTTGGTTGCACATAACTGGGTTTACGCTCATTTCTTGGGTTGACTGAACTGACTCTGTTGCATGTATTTGATTGCTGCTGTGTCTTCCTCTCAATCTGATGCCCTAACACGCTCTCGCTCTAGCAAATGGAATCTCTTGCAGTAAGTCTTTTCTACTAAATTCTCTCTATAATAAACTACTTAAAATAAAACAAGTTTCAATCTTGTTTTAATACTTCTGCATGCAGTGTGCTTATTTAAATAATGTGATCTACTTAAAGGTTTGTAATAGAGTTTGTGTTGCCATATGTAAAAAGAAAGAATATTTCTTTCTCATTTAGCAATTGGAGCTCTGTCAGAGACTGTACAAGCTGCACTTTCAGTTGCTGCTGCTGTTTCAGTCATACTGTTCACTCATCGGTCAAGTCCACGCCATCAGCACTGTGCCCGAGGTCAGTCCAAGAATTATCATTGAATAAATTGGTAAATACTGTTGTTTTACTAAAGCAAAACATTTTAAAGAAGACAAATTCTGCTCTTCACTGGTCTTCAGGTCATAATAGTGATCTAAAATGCTTTAAGGATAGAAATTGGACCTTTGGCTTCCTGTTTAGAACAGTCCTGCCCCTTCAGCAAGCAGGAGTTTCTTTTACATTAAAAAAAAAAAAAAAAGATTTCTACTTGACATTTTTGCAGCCTATGTGTATGACCAGGAGTCTTGCATATAATCGCAAGTTCAGAGCTGTGGGTGGGGTGAGAGGTGAAAAACATTTTCTGAGAACTCAATCCTCAAATGCAGGGAATAAATAAATCATTCAAAATGCAGCTCTAGCTAATGATGAAGTTATGATAACATAGGTAAATGTTCATACAAATTGATTTTACATAATAGGTCCTTTTTAAAAGCTCACAAGTGTGTATCATATCCAAAACCAAAATGTTGCTCATGTTTACTTTAACCTCTCCCCCTCTTTTTCTCTGGCAGCTGTTGAACATGTCTCGAGAGCTGACTGAGCTGAGGGGTAGCCTGCAGGCGGCTGAGGCAGCTGTGGCCAGTGACCTGGAGCACAAACTCCTGTCCCATGCTCACAGCAGCTCTGCCACTGCTGCCGGCATGGTCGTGCCCAACTTTCCCACGTCTGAGGCCGCCGTGCAGGCCATCCTCGAGTGCCTTAAGAACCATGAGTTTACTAAAGCAGTCCGCTACATTCAAGAGTGCAGGTGAGGAAAAATAACAATGTATAAAATGTAATTTAATATGTATATATATAATATAAGACTATCAAACTACTGTAATAAAACTCAAGAATTAGTATTAATGCTTGTAATATTTGGATCACAATTATCAGATTTTTCACTAGCTAGGACCACACCAACAAAGACATAGTGCGAAGAAGTTTATTGATAATGTATGAAGCGGGGCAGAGATGGCTGGGTTGAGACTCTAGGTGGGGGCTCCGTCTCAATCTTCAATTGGCTCAGCCGGAACGAGACCCCCTTTGTAGGGGTCTTATGACTGAAAGACGAACATAATAGGGGATGTGAGGGTGGGGTTGAGTTAGCCGAGACAAACTGAGATGATGGGAAAGGCTGCTACATATAGTCTTCTGGAAAATTAGAGGCATGGTCGAGGTGAGTTGTGGTTCGCTGGTGAGACGAGAGGGCAGTTGAGGCGTGGTCCTGCTCCTGAATCTCAGTTAATCATATTAACTACATTTATTGACTGTTAGAATCCTGAAGAATGTTTATTGATGCCCAAACAGTACAGCATTTTGGCCATATGTTCAGTTATGAAATATCAAGTGCTAAAATATTTACAAATCGGAACAACAAATATTACAAACATAAAATATTGCATTCAATTATTATATTTCATACAACAACTAATTATGCTCTCTATATATCCCTCTTTATTGTAGTTATTTTATCATTTTTGGCACTTGAATATAAACTTGTTAAATTAGCCTACATAAATAATTTGGAAGTTAAATGCAATACCTCTTTGTTGTTCTGTAGGAGGCAGTGGCCTAATGGTGTGTTTGGGGGCAGCTCGGAGAGTGAGGTGCAGACCCTCCTGAACGTGTATTTTCGACATCAGACCCTGGGTCAGACTGGGACCATCGCTCTGGTCGGGTCTCGTCAGGACCTTAGTCTGATCTGCTCCAAACTCCTGGAGCTAAACGGAGAGATCCGTGACATGATCCGCCGCGCCCAGGGGTACCGTGTGGTCACAACCTACCTCCCCGATTCCAGCGCCTCGGCGACCAGCCTCTGACAGGACTTCAGGAGCCCCCCCTCCCCGCCAGACCCTCCCTTATACACCCTCTCATCCCATCCCAGGACGCTCCCATACCCCTCTATCCATTCAGACCAGCCAGCAGTTCAGCCTGGCCATACAGGAGGATCCCCACATCCGAATACATGGCCCCTCCCCCCTCCTACTTGTCTCCTGTCCCGTCTTCAGAATACCAGACTGACACAACCGTCCCAAAAGGATCGATTTTAGATCCACACCCCTTACGTCCTTCTTCATCTGCATCCTCTTTTGCTTCTGACACTTTTCTGCTTGACTTTCCTGGACCTCCAAATCTATTCATAAGTTCTCACCGCTGCCCGACCACCCAAGAAGAACTTTATTTCACTTTACCTCGAGAAATGGGCAAAAACCGTCCAAACAAGAGGCATCAATTCAGAGGACACTCTTCTCACAGCTCACCGCTTTTCAATTTAAACCCGGGGAGACATTTTGTATCTCCGCAACCATCTTTACCAACTGTCGCTTCGGAACCGACCCTTATCACGCATTCAGATAACCATCCCCCTCTACAGGGATCACATCTACCACACTTTCCTCACTCGCCGTACAAGCACACCTCTGCTCCACATGAGACCGTCCTAACTCAGTGTCCCACCCGATCATCATCTCCTTCCTGCTCCTCCCCCTCCTCCCCCCTGCCTCACTGCACCTCCAGGGGACCTAGCCACTGCTGCATGGGGTTGTTGTTGCACTTCTTTCAGTGAAGCGCCCATACCCTTGTCCCGTTACCTGGAGAAAGTGGGCAACGCTGCACTGCCTCTGTTAAAAGCTGGGGGGCTCCTGAAAACGAAACCTTCGGATGTACAGACATAAAAAACAGATTTTAGACTTTTTAACTTGAAACAGACCTTGTAATTTTGCAGTACTGTTGCTATGGATATGAAAAAGGAATAATAAATTAGCTTAAATTATGACATGAACACTGTACAGCTAATAACTGCAAACACTTAGCAACTCTGTGCACAAGAACGGCTTTTTCTGCGACATTGAACTTGCACCCCGTTGTTCTAGAAAAATTCACTTTTACAAACTACTACAAGGACTGCAAGGAGACACAAATTATGGTAAAGAAACTACCCGTGAAGACAGGTAGATCTTTGAGATTGCACTAAATGGATTTTGCTATATGAATTAATGTTAAAAGTGAATTTGATACTGATTTTGTTGTAATTATAAGAGAAAAAAGACAAAAGCTGGAAGTAAACTGTCTCACCCACTGCTGTTTGACTAGGACCTTGATTGGAGGAATTTGTGCAATGCATGACCCAGCCAAACACTTTCTACTGAATGAGATCTGCTCCCAGTAAACTCTGACTGAAAGACTGGTTTGAGAAGAGCTGTGCAGACTATTGGGGTGATTTCTAAATGCTGTTTGTACTATATCATGTATTGGTAAACCAGCTGTCTTCAACTACTGTAACCAATCATGTTGTGTGCGGTCCTCTGTTGTAGCATCATCATTAGTGACACTGTACATTTCTCACTGTAACACGTAGGAGTTCATGTTCCACTGTCATGTAGCATATATGTGTGTGGTGTGTAGATCCACATTAAGGGAAATGCTGACATTCAGCACTTTGAGTTCAGAACAGTCTGCTGAAGCCCCACACTGATCACTGCAGTCAGCTGTTTCTGTAACCACCCTCTAGCAGTTTAATGTCCTTTTGCTGTATTAAATATTATTTATATCCAAACAGGCATCATTTGCCCATTTGAGTTTTCTAACTGAAACTGCCATGCATGCATCTTCAGTGTACTGTATGGAGTGTTTGGACTATTTATTACAAGAAGGTTTTATCTGAAAGATATTGTCTGTATGCTGGTACTGAAGGGGGCTGTAAGCTCCAGTGAGTTTTCTTGTGTGGGAGAATGTGTGTGCATGCCAAAATCAGAAATTGCACATTTTTAAAGCTTTTTAGATGAAGACTGTAGTTGTTTTTTCACCTTGTAAATACTTTTACAGCCTTTGTGAAGTTGTTTTTGAGTTGATGCTCTGTACACGTCTGTGTGTCCAAGTAAAGACATATCAAGACTATACATTTGAATGCAATTTGTCTTCATAGTAGAAACTTTCGCCAATTGACAATACACATAGAAACTCTACAAATGTTCAACTTGATCACGGTGAATTATCTCAGTTTATTTATTCAACTACACAAAAATCTGAAAAGTGGCAACAATATTTGGGATGCAGAGTTTATTTTTTTTAAATACAAAAATACTTTGACATTTAACAAGATTGGGGGGAAAGGTGCACAACGAAGTTGCATCAAGTAAAAAAACAAGCAGATTCAGGTACTCGCTGGTTGGGGAATAAGTGAATCCCTTCAATCCATTAGTGGAGGCAACTTCCATATGCTTCGAGTGCTGACAGGACTGTCGTGTCCTCAGCCAGATTTAAAGTGCCTTTCAGTGTTCAGAGGCAGAGCATCATTTGATCTCAGTTTAGACGATATATTTGAAGCTGTAGGTGGCCTCGCAGGAGAGCTTCATGCCTTTACATCGACAGCACAAGTCCTGGCGATGGGGTCTCTTCATGTTGATGTGCCTCTGCTTTCTCTCACACACACAGGACGTTTGAGCACAGCCCTACAGACACATAGAAATATCGATCAAAAACTTAAGTGCTGCTCAGACCTAGTGCGAGTTTACCTTGCAGAGGATAGACTCCACTCTGTAGGGGTTGAACCCCACCTGGCACTTCCGACAGAGCTGCTTGAAATACACCTAATGATGAAAACAATTAGTTACTGCCAATTCAGGTGATCTGCTTTAAATTGTTCTAGCCTATATGGGTGGACCTTACCTTACTGGTTCCAGAGATGCACCACACATAAGCACTCTCCCACCGGACGTTGCACTTTTTACAGTGGAAAAAGCCATATCTCTGCTCCAGAAACTGAAACAAAAAGTTTTTGTATTAGATCTTGCTGAAAGGGTACCATGTCAGCGTGCATATGACATTGAGGGGGGCAGTAATTAGAGAACAGATTCAGATTGAATATGCCACTATTGAGCTCTAATACCTGCAAGCTGGAGCCTTTTGAGGCCAGGTGAAGGCTCGTGTCCGGGACCTTGACAGGTTCGTCCTCGCTGTGTTCCTCGGTCACTACGCTGTCCTCCAGCTCAGCCGTGTCCAGCTCACTGTCGTCTCCTACACTGAGCTTTTTGAGCAAGAGCCGCCGGTCAAACACCGGGGAGTAGATGGACACGGGCCGTAGGAAGCGCAGGTGACTGACTGGGGGGGTCCCGTCAGCAAGGAATACATCCGGACTCTTGGTGGATTTGGGGGACAGTGGGCCCTCTGTGTCCCTAGAGAACAGTGTCTTGGGACCAAGCGAACACTGGATGAGTTTGTGCACTTTAGCGTTCACTTGTACGCCGCAATCTTTGGTGTTGGCTTTTTTGTGCTGTGGGTGAACGGTGGGACTGGCTTGGGACAGGAGAGCCTTGCAGAGCTCCAGATAGTTCAGGCCATGTGGTGTAATAAGGCGGCCTTCTCTTTTGCCCCATCCACTGCTTGGACCCGGGACTCCGCAGAAGCCGAAGGGCGGAAACGTAGACAGGAAACCCTCCATCCTCAAGCCATGAAACCAGACTCACTTCGCCCTGTGCCCGTTTATCACGGCCACACGGCCGCAGCTGATTGTATGATTGAAAACAGGAGCGAGCTTCTCGAAACGCTGTGTTGGAGCGCCCCCTACAGGACGACACAAACGGGGCATTTCAGAAACATTTCTGAGAGCATTATAAAATATGCAACTGTGCACACTTTACCTACTGCCTTAAATGAACATATGTCAAATATATACATTATTATACGCAAAAAACAAACACCCTAACATCTTGAAAAGAGATCCCCTAATGCATTAATTAATTCGTTAAACAAGTAATAGCTATTAGTCGATTTTATCTTTAGAACTGACACAGACCTAAGACTGATTTGATCCACTACATTGTCTGACTCTTGTTATTATCCCAAGTGGCTGATGGTGATGACAGACCTGTGATCCAGATAGAGAGAGGCTGTAGGTGTCGCTGTACCCCCACAAATGGATGCTGCCCCTATGGGCACTGGAGCCACTCATATTGGCGCCATTTTGGAGCAGGAGGGGGAAGAGCTGCAGAAGAGAGGACACGACTGATCACAGTTCACCGTTACAGGCAAGAGAATGCATTTATAAACCTATATTTTCTATTGAGCACTAGAGATAACGCTTGGCACAGACGTGGGAGATCTGATGTAGTTTGGGATGTGTTCGTGGTTCATCCATCTTTACGGCGCTGAGCGGAACAGCGCAGCCCGCCGCGCTGCCTCTGTTCCCGCAGCCGTCAGAGCTCACAGCGCTGCTTCTCCCGGTCCAGCGGCAAAAAAAAATGCTAGCTGTTTTCAAGCCTGTATTTCAACTTTGACATCTAGAAAATATTTGCTCTTAATTCGTCCACACGGATAAGTGATTTTTAACGCGCCACTGACAAGTATAATCATTTATTGAGTGTACTGCTGTTGTATCTGTCCGCCCTCTGTCACTGATGGCTGCGGCTAGGCTAAATGCTAGCGTTAGCTTCAGTTAGCATATAGCCAGCACATTGCATTGAGGAATCGCTAGCTCCGAGGCTACCAGCGGCTAATTTGATTAGCTTCGCTACTGCCAACCCTATGTTGCCAACAACAGTACAGTAATAATGCTGTCGGTGAAGTGTGGTCCTTCACATGCCGCTAGACACACTACGGACACAATTAAAGGAAGCAGTGAAAGCTGATTGTTTATGATTGGTCATAAAACGCTCAGTAAAGCTTCAGTGTTGCCTTTTGCTGGTGTACGCTTTCTGGACTCCATTATTATGAAGTGGAGTTCCTAATGGACTGAACCGCATTGCTTTCTTTTGGCGGCGGGGTGTGCAAGGCTGAATGAATGATTACTTTAATGGCTCGTTGCTTTCTTGATTGATTATTCAAACTACTTTTTATGAGTCCTGCGGGTTACTAAAATGAGATTGTACCGCTGCGTGTATAAATACATCACACAACAAAAGGTTGTTACTGAACGTTGTCGACTGAAGAATAATGTTAGCAAAAAAAAAAAAAAAAGCTGTTGTAAATGATGTTCAGCCTCTGAGCTGCAGCGGTGCGTCGTATTTTGTTTTGACAAGAGACGTGTTTGGTTGGTCAACTAGTAACTCATTTTTACTTAATAAATAAGTAGTTTTTGTTAATCTGAAAAGTCACACGGAGAATCAAGAGGATTCTTGTTTAAATTAACACGTTATTTACTTACTTACTACGCTTTTTGTGAACAGTATATTTTGTTAACAATTTACCTGTTGTTATATGGTTATTTCTCTGTGTATGGTGCTTACTGTACATTTTATGGCCTTCATGTACCTGGTTGGGTTTATTTTAAGGGATGCTAAGTATTTTTGAAAATGTGTTTCTTGTTGGACCTGGACATTACTCTTAAGAAGGTTTATAGGTTGTAATAGTGGTTTCTGTTTGTGTTTACATGCGGTCAGCCCAGGGAGTTCTCCTTCAGCACCAGCTGCTGCTCTCCTTTGTGTTTACTGAGGCTCTGCTGCCCCTATGTTCATCTAAGGAGGACAGACTATGTCACTGTGTCAGAGTTCAGTGTTTAGCAATGCTTATGAGACTGATTATGTACATTCTCATGGGCAAGCCTTATCTTTTTATTATTTTAGTAATGCAGCATAGAGGATATGTGTCCACAAGTACTTGATTTCACTGTGGGTTTTTTGTTCCAAAAATACATAAATGAAGATCTCAAAACTAGAGACCGTTATGAGGTTTTTCATGGCCAGTGAAGATTGTTTAGAATCCAGAGCACCCGATGGCCTATAAGCTTTGCCATTATTTTTTGACCAATACATTGAGCCAATTTTGATATTTTTTGCCAAATTGTGTAATTTTAATTTATAATTAACAAACTTTGAAGATGATCACTGATTTATTTATAAATATCAGCCAACCGGTATCGATCCATCTATTCAAAACCTGTATTTGCTATAATACTGTAGTATAACTGTTACAGTTATAATTTGTATGATTGTCTTGTCTTTATTATATAATTCATGTATATAATAAGTCATTGTGCTGTAATGGCAGCATAGCAGAGCATTTGGGCTAATTTGATATTCAAAAGCAATGAGTCATTCACATTGTAATAACACTTGGTGGATTATAATTTTTACATATGAGATCCATGTGGTATTGATGAAATGTAAAAAAAAACAACATGCATTTTGTGAGGCCACATCACTGCAAACATTACATTGGAAAAGACCAAAGAAACCTATATGTCTGTTTTAGACTTTAAAGTGCTTCTTCTAATCCCTATATCGCAGGGAAGCATGTTGTGCTTGTCCATTGTGACCGTTTACCACTGTCAAGTTGAAGTTAATTATTCCCAGGTTGATGGTATTTTCACTACACAGGAGGAGAAATCCTATGTTCTGAACCTTGATTGGTCAGCTGTGTTGCTTACTGTCAGTGGCTATGTTTATCTTATGTTTAGTGATCCAGAGAGTTGACATAGAGAAGAAAGGGCAAAACAACGGAAGAAAGAAATGGTAAATGACTAGTGTTATATTGTACCTTTTAATAGACACTCAGAGCATTTTATATCAAGGAGCCATTTACCATTCATACAATAATGTATGCATACACTGGAGACAAGGCATGGTAAATGTCTTGTCCAAGGACACAACAACACTATGCACCTGTGGAAGTGGGATTTGAACCAACATGTGGCATTAATGGGTTTGATTTTTACACAAAACTTAATTACTTCTATGGAAAAATAATTTGCCTTTACATTGTGCACTACAAGCAACAGAGAGAGGGACAGGGAAAGGACCTGAGTTGGAGAGATTGTGTGGCAGCAGCTGTGGGATGTAAAACCAGGTCAGACTGGAGCTGTAGTTGGCGTCAGTCCTTGTTCCACTGATGTACGGCTCCTGTCTGCTTTTAAACCAATGAAACTACTGCACTGAATATCATGATTCAAAGCATTTCAGTATCTACCAACAACTGTGTGTTCTAAGACCTACTGACCCAAACTCTTGGTAATTGGCAATTCCTCTTTGGAAAAGGAAAGCAGATCTACACTGGAAACTATTGCTGATAACAAGAAAAAGAAATATTTTCTAACTGTTACTGCCCTCTACTCTGACCCATGGGTACTTGGAAAACCAAGCGTGTAGTGATGTTGGAACCAGCTCTCAGCCAGTTTGAATCAAAAGTGGCTCTATAGAAAAATTGAACTCTGATGTGATGTCTGTCCTCCTTTGTCAACTTTAATTTGTTTAAAATGATGGAATAATTCACAAGGCTGAAATGAGGGATGATACTTTCAGAAAATTCTGTACTGAAATGCAAGCAAGGAAATGTTTGTTGATTTTAAACCCTGTTTATTGTGATTGTGACCACATTTGTGCAGTTTACAGGTTGCATTTGTATTAGGAATGTCATTATTAGCTGGCAACTACCAACAGTTTTACACAGAATAAGCAAACCACACTCAACCACTGATTGTCTGAAAGTTCTGAGTAATGGAAAATCAACACAAAATTGGACTTGTAGAGGCACCACAGTAGACCCTCTGTTTACTCTATGTAGTTGTTGACTTTACTGCTTATAAGACTTACTTCGTCATCACTAAGCCCAGATGGTGCAGTGAAAATATTAAAATGAGCTTCAGTCCAAATAACTTAATCTTGTCCCGTTGCATCATCCACTAATGAAAGTATCTTCTGGGGCATATAGTGCCACAGCCTTGACTGATGAGCAGGCTTTTGGGTTTTAAAAGGAATATATTGAGTACTCAGTTGAGATTATTGTTTGTAATGGATTGCTTTAAAACAGCTCATCAGTTCATCATTAAATTTAAATAAAAGATGCACTGATACATCTGATGCTGCTAGGATTCACACTGTAAAATGGACTGAATTTGTATGCATTTGGAACATGTGTTAGGGCAATCCATTGACTATTCACTGCTGACCACTGTTGATGGTGAATGTCTCATAGTTTTTGTACAGAATACAATACTATTAGACGGTTACTGACAGAGATACTAGTATTGGTAGGGATGGGACAAAATCTTGTGAGACAAAATAAAATAAAATAAAAAATCCTTTCCGATTAACTACACTTGATGAGATGCACTGTTACAGTGATAGCAAATCTATACAATAAAAAAAAAAAAAATCTGTCATAGAAATATATCAAAATCTTGTCTTGTCTCGCTCTCATGGGTTAAAATCATGTCTCATCTCTTAGAAACTGTATTGGTAATCTGCAAAGCTGGTAGAAAGTATTGATCTGGGGGTGACAGTAGCGTGAGAGTGTTTGTCCACTGATCCGAAGGTTTGTGGTTCAAATCCCATAAATTATTGGTTAAGTGGTCAGATCCACTGACCCACAGGTTGGCGGTGCGATTCCAGCTCCCACAGATGAATGCTGCCATTGTGTCCTTGGGCAAGACACTTAACCAACCTTGCCCACAGTGTCTGCGCACTGATGTGTGTCTGTGAATGGGCGGAAAGCGTGCCTTGAAGGTGGTAAAAAGCTACTGTATATAAAAATGTGACCATGACCATTTACCATCTTGTTGTCAGGGCTGTTATGTAGTGCACTGGTGCACATAGGAGGTAGAAAGTACGATATACTGTATATACAGATAAATAAACAATAGTATTCAAACTTCTTACCAGATAATAACCCCAAAGCAGGATTATCCCAGTGAATGTGTTTTGTAAGTGAACCTTACTGTAAAAACATAAGTATTTAATTCTAGTATCTATAAAGCATCATATGTAAATTATTCAACCAGCTCAAATGTAATTTTTTTGTAGCATTAATTATAAGTACAGATGATAATTTTTGAGCCTGACAAAAATATTATTCTTTTTATATAGTGATTATTGTGACAGGCCTTTAGTCAACTGAAGGCAAAAGCCATGCCAGAAACAGCAGTCATATATTGATGAGATGATGTAATGTAACTTGATGCTGCAATAATTCAGTGCATATGAACAGAAGCAATCCAAGTCTTTTATTTCAATATGTTTTATTGATTGTAGTCCTTGTGTTATTAGCTTGTCTTCATGATCATCTCAAAAGCCCCTCTGAGTGCTTGTTTTGATTAAACCATGATGAGCTCTTTGTGTTGCGACTTCCACTTTACACCAGAGCAGCTTAACTCAAAGCCGGGCTGAGCTGAGCCTAAACCCACTATTGTTCAGACGGATGAACCCCCATCAGCACTGGATCTAGACAAAGGCATACCTCTATACACAACACCTGATCTCAACTAATAAACTAAAACCATACTAGAATTAGGCAAGCTACAACACTAATTAGTCAGTCTAATATGAACTTGTTCAGTACAGCCTTCACAATAACAGTACACGTGCATCTCGATATGCTGTGTCTTACTCCTTCAAGTTAGGCAATGTCGATTTAGACCATTTTAAACTATTGTATCATTGTAAATGCAATTGCATCTAATTGTTTGATTGTGTTAAGAATTGTTCTGTTTGTGAACTACCCCATAACAGACTACTCCACATCAAACCTATAGTTACTCAGTCGTATTCCCAAGTGCCAAGAAGCCAACTGAAACGAAAACAACATGAAGGGCAGTTCAATCGATCTTGTGCAGATCACCCCGTTTTCAGTGAAGTATTCAGAGACGTTCATATATCCAATAACTGCAGTGGCAATGATAGTCTTTGCCAACATGCAGTAAAATACAAGGCTGTAACATTGAAAGCCAGAGCACATTCCGCATCATCTGAACGCAATAAACAAGTGCAGTCATCTTTGCTGTGAGGCCATAATGAAACAGGATAAAAATCTCTCTGAGTGCAGCAGAGTCGCGCCTCCTGTTCCCCGTCCAAGGCTGTTCGCTGTAAATACCTCTGAATATTTAAAAGAGTGTGGTTGTGAAAATGTGCCGAAGCTTTGAAAAGATCTGTTTGTCTTGTTTTCATCTGTGCTTTAGTAATAGGTTTTGGCATTTTAGGTTACATTTATTTACCTTTTTATGATGATATTTCCAAGAAAAACAGGATCTAGCAAGAATATTAGGGCTGAGTATTGGCAAGAATCTCTCAATATAATATAGATCTCATATCCATGTTTATTCTGTAAAAATGTCTTGTGTAATTTGTTTTTTGCAATGTCTAAACAAAATGCATTGGAATTTCCATGGGCTTAAATATCATAATGCAATTGCTTTATGAATAACTCACTCAGGTTAGACTTGTTCTCTATTTGTCGGTATGTAGTTTAATGTAGTAATTTCTAATGTAGAAATTTCTAATGAGGCTGAACCTCGAATTAGAATCAGTGTACAGCCTCTCTGTATCACTGCACATATTGTCAAGAAGTCCATCACAATCTGTAGGTGAAATTAATGTTTTGATCACAGGCCTAAACAATATGTCACAATTGCAATTACAATTCTTGTACACACCAAGGCTGACCAAATGGAAAAAAAGCTGAGTTCTGATAATGAGCCTGGCTCGGAATGCACATATGGTTTATGAATAAATGAAACATTATGGTGCACATCTGCTCTGTAAACTTTCACTCAGTAGCCGTATGTTAACTGTTTGAATCCTTGATTTTTGGAAACCATGTCTGCATGCTGTGTATGTATGAATATGTTGGGTTTGTAGTGACTGAGTGTGTGTGTCTTGTCTAGAATAAGCATAGTTTAAGAAGGCTCTTGTTTACAAAGGTAAATGACTGTGGTGTATTTATTGAGATATTGATAATTTCTCTGTTATTTACTTTGATAAAATAGCAGTGCACTATAAAATCTACTGACTGTCCATGAGCTTAAAGTATCTGTTTGCCTCTGTTTCATCAGGCAGTGAAGAGCTGAGAGGATGGCTCACTCTAAAGCTCGAGCCGCAGACGGGAAGGTGACCTACCCTCCGGGGGTCAAGGAGATCTCCGATAAGATCTCCAAAGAAGAAATGGTCCGTCGACTCAAGGTGCATAAAAATTACAACTTAAGCTTTTTGCTGAAGCACACCAAAACCTTTTTAGTGTTTTCAAATATACAGTGATTTGGTTTGTTGGTTTCTTTTCCCAGTGAGAGGAGCCTCAGCTGTTTACTGAGAGGCAGAAATGTATTATGTAATGATGCTGTATTTAGTGGTTTTTGAAAATGCTTTTCAAATTGCAAAAGTCTAATTTGCTATTGGGCAATTAAAAAATCAATAACACTTTATCATTTATCAAAGAGGTGCTGCTCAATTAATCGAGACAAAGATTCCGTCAGTTCTAATTGTCAAAGTTTATTTTGGGTCTTTTTTTTAAATGGAGAATTTCATTTTTTAATAAAGTATTAAGTAAAAAAATATAGTGATTGATCAGTATGAATAAACAATAATTGTGATTCATGTTTTCAAATCGCCCATATATGTATAAATTCCACCTGAGCTCATCGCTCATCTGTCACTGCACCTGTCCCGCCTGCAGATGGTGGTGAAGACCTTCATGGACATGGACCAGGACTCGGAGGAGGAGAAGGAGCTGTACCTGAACCTAGCTCTGCACCTTGCCTCAGACTTCTTCCTTAAACACCCCGACAAAGACGTACGTCTGTTGGTGGCCTGCTGTTTGGCCGACATCTTCAGAATCTACGCCCCTGAGGCTCCGTACACCTCTCCTGATAAACTCAAGGTAAACAACTGTGCAAAGAAACTCAGAGGAGGGACCAGCAGACTTATGAATCATTCAGTTTCATTATTTAAACACTTTTTTTAGGTCTACAATATTTATTATGTATGTCTGTAGTCTTCAACACCCAGATATTTAACTTGTTTTGGAGCTAGATATTTTTCATTTGAAAAATTATCACTGGAATACTGGAGTAATACTTGGAAAAATTTCCATTAACAGGTGTGCAAATTTTAACTTTTTTCCAGGACATTTTCATGTTCATCACAAGACAGTTGAAAGGACTGGAGGACACAAAGAGTGCCCAGTTCAACAGATACTTCTATCTGCTCGAGGTGAGGCTCATTGCAAACCTTTTCTTTTTTTTTTTTTTTTTTTAGTTGAGTATTTACCAATTTGTTATCTGTGAAGGAATGTCAGTATGTATCAAACTGCTTGAGTCATACATTATATAATGTGCATGGTGAGGATGGCCCGATGCAGGTTCCAACCCAACAGAATTGGGACTTTTCTATGTCATGCCAACCAAGTTACTTTCAGAGTGATTTCATTTCTAAAATTCAGTTTAGTTGGTTGCTTGAGGATTTCTTGCCTGTGAAACAACCTCTCAAGTCTACTGCTGAAGCTCCATGAGAATCTGAGATTAAATATTTAGCATTTCATCAGATTTCACATTCATTGCCTAACTTAATAATATTTCCCAACTCAATGAATAAAATATGCTCGTGAAATGCAGTATTCATGCAAGAGCCTGACCAGTGAGAACCATTTACTTGTGAAATGAAGAGAAATATTTCTCCTCTGTAACCCTCTCCTCACTCAGATGATTTTTTTTCATTTTCCATTAATGTATGTATCTAAGATGGCAAATTTTTACATTTACATTTTTTACTAGGCCTGTCACGATAAACGATAGACTTATCGTTCAATACATGATAAATGGAACTATTATTTTGGCGGGGTCAATATTTATCATGGTTACCTTTTTTATTTTTTGTGGTTATTTTTTCTGCAATATGGTAAGATTTGAGCTGTTACAATTAATCTTGCAATCGTGTTGCATTTTGCTATTTATTTATTGCACCCCATGTTTTTTAACATATTCTTAGAATACATTTTTGAGATAATAATTCATGCTTTATGGTTTGATTTCAATAATTTATCATTTAGATTTACATCAGCAATATATTGCACCTTTTAAAAAACTGTTAACATGACAGGTCTAATCTGGATTTATGTTATTTTGGTATATGTTGGTCTTGACCTTGCTATATTATGATATATGCATATTAAAAGTATTCATTTACCTGCACCCCATCTTCATTAAAGGTGACATGTAAATGTTCGATACTTTGCCACAGGCACAATGTTCCACAGTAGGGCATTACACCTGTCTATATGGCATTGATTAAATAAAATATACCTTGAAAAACGGGCATTATTAATGTGAACTCACTCTCCTTTCCACTGATCTGACTTGTAACTTGGCATGATGGTGTCACCTGCTTGTTTTCGCTGAGAAGTTTTTTATGCCTTACTGTGTAACATTCAAAGTAAAGCAAGTACATCTCCATTGAGACAAGAAGACAATACCAGAAAGTTACTTGGTACACCTTTTAAATATAGACCTGTATTAGATTACACACATACAGTGTGACAGTACAGTTTTCACTGAATCCCTGTTACTTTATGTGCAGAACATTGCCTGGGTGAAGTCCTACAACATCTGCTTTGAGCTGGAGGACAGTAACGAGATCTTCACTCAGCTTTACCGAACGCTCTTCCAGGTCATCAAGTGAGTCCATGTTTGAGGTGTCTCCATTGCACAGCTGTTTCCTGGTCTTCCCCTTGCTCATATGGGCGTTTTACCGCAGTAATAACAAGAGCCGGTGCCTGCAGCTCAGTCCAGTTGTTTGTATTTGATTGCCCTTCTCTTCAGTTTTTTCCACAACCTTGAGGCCTGGATCCTGACTGCAGTGCAAATTTGGCTTTTTGCCCACAGAGAGCTAGTGAACAATATTGGCTTTGTGTGTAGTATAAAGACCACAGATTAATAATTGTTTGCAGCTAAGACAAAAATGAAGGAAAATTTAGCAATTTTGTGTTTTGGGGAGAAAGAAAAAGGTAATTTAGAGCCAGGCTTTGCTGAGGTAAGTCACCAGCCACAGAACAAATGTAGGTTAGAAGTTTTATCTCCTGCTGTCAGACAAGTGCACCCACACCACATGCGCATGGACGCTGTGGAGGCTGCTACTCCCAAAATGTGGAACACTGCAAGTAAACTACACTATTCCTGTGCTGTAAAAACAATTATAGTTATGTTTTGTTTTTTGTTTTTTTTAATATCAGTAACCTGTCAGATTGCTGGTGATGTATGACATAGTGGCTTTATGCGTTGATATCGCTGGCCATATTAGACCTTATGGCAATATGAAAATATCAAATCTTTATGTTTTGTCCCAAAAGAGTAAATTTGCTTTGTAACTTGGCAACTGCATAACATTAACATTAACATATTAATAGTATGGTAAACAATTGACAAAAATATTTTACATCAATGTGAGGATAGATTTTGTTTGTTTTATGGATAGAAGTTGGTTATTTTTATTTTTACCTTTTGAAATTTTGTCTTTAACCTGATCAGTCAGAATGATTAAATCTGCCACCCTTCCTCATACTAAACAGATGTCATTGTGTTGCATATGTTCTGTTAAAATCTACAATATGAAGGTGTGAAATTCAACACAGATTGCTGACCCCAGCCTTGTCTCCATAGTAACGGACACAACCAGAAGGTGCACATGCACATGGTGGACCTGATGAGCTCCATCATCTGTGAAGGAGACACTGTGTCCCAGGAGCTGCTCGACACTGTGCTCGTCAACCTGGTCCCAGCGCACAAGGTACACAATAATGATTGACTTTACCACAGTAATATAGTATAGGCCCCTGTGGAAGCAACACGTTTATCTTCTGTTTGTCTACTTATGTAAAGTGTTTTGGGGTATCTTGAAATAAGAGTTGTAGTAATAATAAAAATAATACATAATAATATCGTTTATTATTATCATTATTATTAACTGATAGGTAATGGAGTACTGAGATAAGCATTCACTCACCAGTGGTTCAAACTTTCATACTGTTTTACCCTTGGCCAAGACCATATTACTTTACAACATCATCAGGCTGTAATAGAGACAATTTAAAGAGAACAATATTTTGTCACAATGGTCCATTTACCGTTTTGCCCTTTCCATAATTTGAAACTATGTTTTTTATATTTGTTTATGATATACAAGTTTTTAAACCTGACCTCCTAGGTTTAAAAAAATAAAAATACAAGTTGATTTAAGGAGAGGGAATGGAGACACAGCCTGAAGGCTGCACTGGCCTCCAACGTTGTTTTGGTAGTGGACCGTTCAGGACAAGTTTGTCTTGGCTGTAGACTCTGGAAATGCCATTTTCTATACTTTCAATTCAGTGAGACCCCTGCAGGTGAATGTGGGTATTGCAGTAAGAACAAAGATGCTCTAGTCTACCTAATGAATACATTTAACTAGGCACACATTTTTGCTACTTGGAAAATATATTTTAAATTTTTCCTTTTTCCTAGAATCTGAATAAACAAGCCTACGACTTGGCGAAGGCTCTGCTGAAGAGGACAGCCCAGGCCATTGAACCATACATCACCAATGTAAGCTCACAGTTCATATTAAACACAACATGGGGAATATAGAAAGAACTGCGTCATCTGCACTTATGCATTCAAACTGATTTAGTAGCTACTTCACAATCCCTTAAGGAATGTGCATCCCACTTTCAGTACTTTTCAGTACTTTTACTACTTTTCAGTAGCAAAAGTATCAGCTTTTTTATTCTGCCAACAAAAAAGTGACAGTGGTTATGATATTTATACTCCATTGTATTTTAATGTGGAAATGCATTTGACAATAAGGCAAATAAATTACATTATGTTTTGGTGCATCATTATTAAAGTAGATTCTGTCTATAAAATAAGCTTATATGACAGAAAATGAATGAAGATTGTGTAACTGTATCATCTGAGTTTATGGTGAACAGCTGTGATCATGAATAGATGTCAAATTTGTTCAGCCTGACAGTCAGTATTGTAAATGTCATGGTAGGATGGTCACAAGAATTTCAGATCATGTTTTAGAGGTACACTAGACTTAAAGCCATTATTAAGTAAATATGAATATATGAATCCTATATATTTTTCCCCTTCTAGCTAATGGGGATATGGCAGTATGGTCTGATTTACTGACTTCATGAACAAACAACTCTGAATTAATTTTATTTCACATTGTATAATAGTTTACCATTTCCATTAGGTTTATTGAATCACTTGAATCAACTGTAACACAGCAGCCTAATAGAAATGGCTCTTCTTTACAGGAGCTTAGTTTAAGTATACACTGAATTGAAATGATTAATTTTGCTTCTAAAATTGGATAATATGACCTGAATAATTGTGATTGTCATTTTGGCTCAATCAGTAATTTCATCTTCATCATGAGGTCTGTCCTCTACTGTGTGTGTATAATATGATGAAACTGATCTTAACACTATTTGCTCTGCCTCTCTGATCTTCTCTGCAGTTTTTTAACCAGGTGCTGATGCTGGGGAAGACGTCTGTGAGTGATTTATCCGAACATGTTTTCGACCTCATTTTGGAGTTGTACAACATTGACAGTCATCTGCTCCTGTCTGTGCTGCCACAACTAGAATTCAAACTCAAGGTAATACAAAATCTAATTTAAACCATGACTTTAGAAAATACTCTCTTTGCTGCCTTTTTTATTGTTGTTATTATAATAATAATAATAATAATAATAATAATAATAATAATAATAATAATAATAATAATAATAATTATAATAATATTACGGTCTACTCTGGTTAGGATCTTGGTACAACAGTTACTGAATCGTCATTTCCATATGAATTACTTCTGCTGTGAATCCTCAACAACATGTAAATGTATACTATAAATGTGTATTTTGGTAGTTTTCTTGTTGAGGAAGAATTGATGGAAGTTATCAGAGAGTATGTGTCCATATTTGTTATTCATTTTAACCACTGCCTTGTTCCACTGGACGAGAACCCCAGTGTTATGACTGATATATTAAATTCAACATAAATCATTCAACAAACCAGCTTGTAGTATAGTGAAAGTGAAGTTTTCTCCTCAAAGATCCACTTTCCACATGTTGGGATGGAAAAGACCAATTAATATAAATTTCTAACAATTTCCTTATTTTCAGTGGATCAGTTTATATCCATCTATAAGAGGCAATGACAATCACTGAGTGTTTACTATTCATATATACTATGCTTAGTCACCAAACCCTATTATACATGAGTGTAGCATTAAACTGCACTGCCTGCTTCCACATTACTCATAATAAATGATTTAATGACTGTTTGTTTTGCATCATCCTATTGCACTTTACAAGACAAATGGACCTATTAAAATGTAGCCTTATTACTATCATCTGTGGTGGCAGCAGAAACAACGCAGGATCTGCGTTGCTTCTCTCATTATTGGATTTTTTTCTCCACTTCAGATCAAAACACTCAAAGCCTTTTAGTCAATACACACACATATACACAGATAGAGAGGTGGGTTGATTCATATGAGAAAGATGGAGCAGTCAGCATAATGTTGCCTCTGCAGTATCTCTGATGGATAATCCTCATTAACTGTTAGTGCGGCCTGTATTTCACTCCAGTCTCATCAAAAATAATGGCTATGATAAAATCTCCCCCAATGCTCCACGGCTCGGTCTTTCCTCTGGGCCATTTTTAACATTTTTATCTTTTCTCTCAAATTCCCTTTCCTTTTCTACTCCTCACTTGTCCTCTCCTGAGCATCGTTCTTTTACGCCTTGTTCATTGAATCCACTGCGTTGAACCGATTTTTCTTTTAAGCCATAATGCAGTATGTTAAATCAGTCTGAAAGGGTCACCTCTTATCTGGGTTTTTTCCCAGTGGAGGAATACTTCACAGCCAGTTTACTGAATTCATGTCTAAAAATGACTAGATGGCAATATACACATATTGTACCATTGTTGTTATGGGCTAGGTTTAAAATGTACTATAAAGCTTTGCTTCATAACACGAATATTAAAAACAGTCCAACAGCAGCATCTGTATTTGAGTTTAAATGGTACATTCATAAAACAATAATTGTTTTGATAGGAAGATGATGGCTTCAGCATACAGTATAATTTTGAAATAAAAGGCTTGAATGTTTATATATTGTCCGAGCCTATTAAAATAGGGATTCTCAAAGTTACTTATATTTAGGCGAAACCCTGTTGTATAGCATCGGTGGGTGTGATTTTACTAAAGCCTTTAAACTTTGCTCTAATACTTGTTTTAAAGGGGTCTTTAAAAACATTAGATTCAAATTCTAGCAGATTCCTCTTCATTATTACTCTTATTTTTAGGCAACAAAGGTCGAACAATGAGTGTTTTCTCTCATCTCTATTTTACACAAGGCTGTATACAGATTTTTATATTTTAATTAATTAGCTTCTTTTGAAAACTATAACTATATGCTGTCTAGCTAGCCAAAAATCATAACTGATTAACAATTACTTTGATTGAACCAATAGCAGAAAGTCTGTCTTATACTTTGTCAGTACAACATAGTGTAAGGTTAAAAGTATAGCTGATTAAAAAATAATGAATAAAACCCCATTAATGACAAAAAGCAAAAGAAGGTCCAGAAAAGAGAGCTTATTGTGTTGTCATAATAATTTTATGATAAAAATAAAATCATAATGTCCTGAGTTGAACCTTTCTGTGTGTGTTTTCTGCAGAGTAATGACAATGACGAGCGGCTGCAGGTGGTGAAGCTTTTGGCCAAAATGTTTGGAGCCAAAGACTCTGAGTTGGCAGCGCAGAACAAGCCTCTGTGGCAGTGTTACCTGGGCAGGTGCGTCATCCACTGCTAAAGAAGAAAATATCAACATATCTAAACAATATTTCACTCATAACAATACAAGGACAAGCATCTATGGGAATATTGCATTTTTATGTAATCCAACCTAAGTCAATGCAAATGATAACTCGCATTCAAAATAACATTTGAAAATATTTGTTTCTGAATTTTTTTGTGTATTTTTGAGTTTTGGGTTTTAACAGTGGGCTGATGTGATCTTTTAGTTTCCATATTATATTAACAAAAAGTTATAATATGCTCATTAATTGGATGAATAGATTTATTAGTCAATTTGTTTTTTAGATTATGTTAAATTTAAGCCATTTTGGTATCAGAAATTGGCCTTGGCTTTCTTCCTCTTTTGACTGCTCCTAGCACAAAATGTATTTATTTTCACATTTGTATCAAAATATGATAGAGAGTTTCTGTCATGTGATAATAGCTTCTAGACCTGTAAGAAAGTCCATTTGAACAGCAGCAACACCCAGGGCTTGGATCTAACACAAAGAGAATAATTACTTTTCCTCTTTAAGGTTTAATGATATCCATGTTCCCATTCGACTGGAGTGTGTGAAGTTTGCCAGTCACTGTCTCATGAACCACCCAGACCTGGCAAAAGACCTCACAGGTAAGACACGTCAACAAAGGGAATATTACAGGTGAATAGAGAAGCAAATATGCTATGGTGATGTTATGTGTTAAGAACATGACAATATCATCTTGTATTTAAACTCTCATGTTTGCTAAACAACTAATTAAAACGAAAAGGATTTTAATCTGTTGAAACTTTAAAAATCCATTTAAGTGGTTACATCAAAATAATACTCAAATTTGAAAAGAATTTTTACTAAAATCACACCGCTAAAAGTAAAAGACTATTGCTCATCTCCATTGTGCTGCTCACTGCATCTCATATCCTTTTTCTTTCCCAGAATTCCTCAAGGTCAGGTCACATGACCCGGAGGAGGCCATCCGCCACGATGTCATTGTCTCTATAGTAACTGCAGCCAAGAAGGACCTGTCACTGGTCAACGATGCATTGCTCAACTTTGTTAAAGAGAGGACTCTGGACAAGAGGGTGAGTGCTTCCACCAGGCCCTTGAAAGTTGAATTAAAAATCACTCTGAAACCCATAGATTGTTTTCTTCCCTGCCTCTTGCATATTTAAAAGTTTTCTTTGCACCACTTCCAAATAAATAAATCCCTTCAGAGCTTTGCAGTGATTAAATGATGACTTTTCCTGCATCTCCAGTTCTACAACTCTAAAGTGCATGAAAGGTTTAATACAGAACTTGATCCTTGCAGTTGCCAGGCTTTCACATCCTCTGTCTCTTCTCAGTGGCGCGTTCGTAAAGAGGCCATGATGGGGCTGGCGTCAATCTACAGGAAGTACTCTCTGAATGGAGAGGGAGGGCGAGAGGCGTCCAAGCAGATCTCTTGGATAAAAGACAAACTGCTACACATCTACTACCAGAACAGTATTGACGACAGGTGCGCCTCTGCAGGAATAATACAAAAATACTTCATTTTTAATATTTTATCTGTCAAAGTTATAATTTGTATTATGATTTAAAAAAAATAATCATTCTGCGGAGAAAAATATATAATTAGATCTTTAAAAACTTTTTTTTTTCTTTTCTTGTTTTTAACAAGTTCATTGTGAATACAAGAATAAGTTCTTGAGTAACATTAGAGCTGGGTGATATGGCTATAAAAATGTACTTGTGATCTTATTTTGTGATCTGCTATATTGATGAGATTGTAATGCTCTGAGTGAGTGACAGGAATAATTACACCTTAAGGGCAAATAAAAGATTTGTGATAAAATCATAATGGTGAACTTGGCTCTAAAAAAATATATATTTCTTGGCATATTGCCCACCTCTAAGTAATATAATGGCATGAAGACTGAACGATCCTATAAAGTAGAAATGTGTATGTGGGTTAAAGACGCAGTATTTTTGTCTAATCTGATCCCTCTGATCGACAAGGGCCCATTATCTCACATCTCAGATAAACACTTGCCCACTGATAGTTTAGAATTCACCCTTTGACACACATCAGTTCGGGACATTTGGAGATGTTCTTCAGTGGATACAATTACTGAAAAATACAGTAGTTTTATGATTAAAATACATTTTAAACTTGAAAATGTGTCAGTTCTACTAAATCTATCATGCCTACCAGATTCTGACCTTGTTAAGGACAATGCTATTTTCAGGCTAACACTGTCTGAATGATTATTTTCTCTACACTCAGTTTTACGAAGCTCATCCGGACCATCTTTATTATAATTTTATGACAAATCTCTATAATAAAACTGATGGTAAATCTTCTCCTTGCAGGTTATTGGTGGAGCGAGTCTTTGCTCAGTACATGGTCCCTCACAACCTGGAGACGACTGAGAGGATGAAGTGTCTCTATTACCTTTACGCCACATTGGACACTAATGCAGTCAAGTACGTTTCAGTAACTGCAATAAGGCTTTTACAGAACATATTGGCTTTTAAGGATTATTTATTGGTGTATTAAGTATGTAGTAGTACTAATTGGCATACCATTGACATGTACAGAGGAGGGATAGTGAATATATAGGTTGAAGAATAGTGTTGAAGAATAATGTGTTTTTTTTCTCAAGGTCTCCAGCTATAACTTGGAGAGACATTCATGCATTCAGTGAAGAAGGATATGAAATGCATAGAAAGAGTAAAGAGGTTATTGTTGTGTTTTTATACCCATTTCTATTTTTGCAGAGCTTTGAACGAGATGTGGAAATGCCAGAATATGCTAAGGCACCATGTAAAAGACCTGCTTGACCTGATCAAAAAGCCCAAGGTAAATTAGTTTAATAAAATCTAAACTAAAATTATATTAGTTTTTTGAGTGTTCTTTTGTGTGCTTGTGTGTATGTGTGTGTAAAATACTCAATTGTTTTATGTTAATTATTTCAGTCTGAAGCTTCAAGCAAGGCAGTATTTGCCAAAGTCATGGTCATCACAAGTAAGTTACAGCTACAGGAAATATAGTAGCATTAACACAACTACAAAATTGGCACACAACTTGAACCTCTATTGTAATTGATTTTGTCCATAGGGAACTTGCCAGACCCAGGTAAAGCCCAGGACTTTGTGAAGAAATTGGCCCAGGTTTTGGATGATGACGAGCGGATCAGAGACCAGCTGGAGACCCTGGTCAGTCCCTCCTGCTCCTGCAAACAGGCTGAAATATGTGTGGTGAGTACCATCCTCAGGGCAGAAGAAAGGGAGAGTTCAACTAAATATGTCTTTTGTAAACTAATTTTATTTTAAAAACTCACTATGTTTTAAATATGTACCATTTAACTTTTCTGGTAGAGGCTCCATGGTATGGCATTAATTACACTTATACATAGTTCATATTGAAAATTATGCATGCTGGCAAGGTGGCTCACTAGTTAGACAACTTCATTGTCATCTGTGGAACATTTAAAGTCTCATTGAAGATACACTGGTGACCCCTTACCAGAAAAGTTATAGTTTGCCTTTAACTAGAATATGTAAACATTGTATTAGTATTATGTGTTGAGCTTTTAATTGTTGCATAGTGTCTTTTTATTTATAAGAATTGTAATGGTGAGTAAACTGGTATGTTGGTTATGTAGGTTGACTATTAATATAATTGTAGGAGCATTTTATAGACCTGGGTTTAATTCATGTCATTGATGGGATTGCTTGAGTGAATATATTTTGTTTATTTTCAGAGAGACATCACGAAAAAGCTCGGCAGCCCCAAACAACCCAGTAACCCCTTCTTGGAGATGGTCAAGTTCCTGTTGGAGAGAATCGCACCAGTTCACATCGACACAGAATCCATCAGGTCTTTTGACACAAACACAATTATACCGATGAAATTAGCATTAATCATTTGTGTTATAACTCACTTGTGGTATTCTGTTCAGTGCGTTGATAAAACAAGTGAACAAGTCTATAGAAGGCACAGCTGATGATGAGGAGGAAGGGGTCCCCACTGAAGAGGCCATCAGAGCGGGTCTAGAACTGCTCAAGGTGACTAAGAAATGATGAATACTATCTAACAATGAAAAACAACAAAAATAAAGTAAAAAATAGAGCACACAACATGACTAAAACAGGGTTAACCAGGTCTACATAACATTTAAATTGACCTCAAAGCAGAAAAAAGTATGTTAGTTAAATCTTTATGCTTCTGAACTCAGCCCAGATTATGATTTGTTTTTTGTAGTGCTTTGCAGCTCTTGTCTGTAAAGCTGTAAAATTATGTCCTTTTGTGTTTAAAGAAAACACTTGTCTTCCATAAAGGGCTTATGTTGTTTCTCCAGAGGCTTTTTATTGTAAATCGCCATCTGTAGCTCAGTCAGCTGTGATTAAATACAGTGTGAAACTAGGAACTCAAATGACACAAAGAACAACAGAAAGAGATTGTGCAGTGAAGCAGAATGCCTCCCTGTGGTTCTCCTCTTAGTCTGATTTGTACAGGTTTATAGAGATCGTAATGACACATTGGAAACTTAAACACTTTAAATGGCTTGTAGACTTTTTATTGTCAAGGGAATAATGCATGGTCACAGTGGTACATTGGTATACAGAAGATGTATAGTATCTATCATAATTAGGGATAAAAACAATTAAACAATGTGATTAAGTAAAAGGATAGAAGAATCAAATAAGTTGCAATGCATTACAATCTTTCATTTTAATGTGTTAATAAATTGGATTGTAATGGCACAATTGTAACAAACATTTGTCTTGTTGACAGGCACTTAAATCTTATGCAAGAGAAAATGTATGGTCACAGCACATTATATTCAAGATTATACTTAACTAAAAATATACATAAAATACAATATAAACAAACTATGGGTGATAAAACTAAATATCTATTAAAAAAAAGTTTGAGTTCATTTTGTGAAATCTTCTTGCATGTGTCTTGAATCAGGTGCTGTCTTTCACTCACCCGGTCTCTTTCCACTCTGCGGAGACTTTCGAGTCCCTTTTGGGATGTCTGAAAATGGACGACGAGAAAGTGGCTGAGGCCGCGCTACAGATCTTCAAAAACACAGGCAGCAAGATGGAAGAGAGCTTCCCCCACATCAAATCGTAAGTTTGATAGAAGAATAAAATGTAAATGTAGATAATTAATGTATTGATAATGACTGTTTTGCTCTTCTTGTAATGGTTATAAAAAGTAGCTTCTTTATAATTAAAATCTTATTAAACCATATTTCAGGTTTAACCACAGACACAAAAAAGAATAAAATTTTGTAACAAAAATACAAAATGGTGTGATTAAGAAAATGAATTAAAATCTGCCCAGTTTATATTAAAACATCAATATTGTACTGACCATTAAGCACACATTGATTCTTTTACATTGTTGATTCTGCTGCAGCGCTCATTGATATAATATACACTGACTAGTACTCTGTGCCCCCTAGTGTTTTGCTGCCTGTACTGCAGTCCAAGGCAAAAAGAGGCCCCCCTCGTCAGGCCAAATATGCCATCCACTGCATCAACGCTATGTTCACCAATAGAGACACTCATTTTGCACAGATTTTTGAGGTAAATAGAATACAATATCTTTTTGCTATATGCCATGAATGTAATACTGATATTTTGGTCCTCTCTAGCCCCTACACAAAGGCCTGGACCCTGCAAACCTAGAGCAGCTGATCACGCCCCTCACCACTCTGGGACACCTGGCACAGCTCGCCCCGGAGCAGTTTGCTGCACCCCTCAAATCTCTAGTCGCCAATTTCATCGTGAAGGACCTGCTTATGAATGACAGGGTAAATACATCCACTCATTATGGGATTGTAACAACAGAACAACAGTTTGCTAACATATATTATTTCTTTGTAGATCCCAGGCAAAAAGACAACTAAACTCTGGGTACCTGACGATGAAGTGTCTCCCGAGACTCAAGCAAAGGTTTTTATTATTATTTATTAAAGTCACTGGTGCTTAGTCATTGGTATCAATCTGTTTTGATGAACTCTGAATGCCAATGATTTGCACAAATTTGTTCCAAACATTATGTAAACTTTCATTCAATCTACTGCATATATATAAATGCTTTTATTCTAATAGTGAGATAAAATATATTGTATTTTATGCCTAGATCCAGGGCATAAAGCTGATGGTGCGATGGTTATTGGGAGTGAAGAACAACCAGAGTAAGTCTGGAAACTCCACTCTGAGGATGCTCACCGCCATTCTGCACAGTGACGGAGACCTGACAGAGCAGGGCAGGATGGGGTATGTAAAAAATAAAGAGTTTCGTATTCATTTACACAAAAAGAGATTGGGCATGAAATACCATTATGCAGGTGAATCATTCAATCTAATGCACGTTTTGTCCTTCCTGCTGCAGGAAACCAGACATGTCCCGGCTGAGACTTGCCGCAGCCTGTGCTCTGTTAAAACTGGCTCAGGAGCCGTGTTACCATGAGATCATCACTCTGGAGCAGTACCAGCTCTGTGCACTCGTCATTAATGTATGCATTACTGTATCATTTATTACTACTTCTACACTTACCAAGACTTACATTTATTTCTTTTACTACTTCCATTAATCTTTTTACTACTTCTACTTTATTTCCAATTTACCACTGCTATTACTATTACGACTACCTGTAACACTGCTGTTACTTCCAATTATTTCACCGTTGCTACTTCTATTATTACACCTACTTATTACTACCATTGCTGCCTCCAGTGCTATTATTACTATCACTTATTATACTGCTGCTAGCCTGCTACTATTACTACCTCTACCAATATGTGTACTTACTACTTTTTGCTGCAATAAATTTCTTTTTCTCCCCTTTGGTCCACATTCAGGATGAGTGTTACCAGGTGCGACAGTGTTTTGCCCAGAAGCTTCACCGGGGGCTCTGTCGCCTGCGCCTGCCCCTTGAGTACATGGCCATTTTCGCCTTATGTGCCAAGGACCCAGTGAAGGAGAGGAGGGCCCACGCTCGCCAATGTCTGGTCAAAAATGTCAACATCCGCCGGGAGTATCTCAAACAACATGCTGCTATTAGTGGTAAGGAAAAAAAATAAAGACATGCACATAATTGTACTTTTATTTCCATTTGGACTAAAATCTTTCTTTATTTGTTTATAGACAAGTTGTTTTCTTTGCTGCCCGAATATGTTGTGCCCTACACCATCCACCTTTTGGCTCACGACCCAGATTATGTCAAAGTGTCAGACATTGAGCAGCTCAAAGAAATTAAAGAGTACGTAATGTGCATTCTTAACATTAACAATTTATTTACACTGTTGACTAGAAGTCTGCATTGCTGACATGCTGACCTGTGAAATACATTTATTTTTTAGGGCTCTATGGTTCGTGCTTGAGATTATAATGGCCAAAAATGAGAATAACAGTCACGCCTTCATCAGAAAAATGGTAGAAAACATAAAACAGACAAAAGATGCACAGTTGCCCACAGATGCCAAAACCAATGAGGTACAGGAGGTATAGATGTATTTGGAAATGAATAACAATATATTGTATTAACACTGATCTTTCTTTGTGCTGTAGAAACTGTACACTGTGTGTGATGTAGCAATGAACATTGTTATGTCTAAGAGCACCACCTACAGTCTGGAGTCACCAAAAGACCCTGTGCTTCCCTCACGCTTCTTCACTAAACCAGATAAGGTTTGTATTCTTGAAAGACAACTTGTTAAATTTTTTTCATGCTTTATTATTTCTGTTAAATTCAATACATTTTGATTTTGTTTTTCAGAACTTTAGCAACACAAAAAATTACCTTCCTCCGGAGATGAAGTCCTTCTTTACTCCTGGAAAGGTAAATTGTTACAAGGGTTTTATAATATTCCTGCCATTTCCATATAACCAAAAATACATGTTGTTGTCCTCTAGCCCAAGTCAGCCAATGTTTTGGGAGCTGTGAACAAGCCTTTAGCATCAGCCGGGAAACAGTTGAGTAAAGCCTCTCGAACAGACACTGGTGACGATGACTCCTCGTCCAACCCAGCGTCCCCGAACCGCGGCAAGTCCAGGTAAGGGGCACAACTTCGCTGAAGTTTAAAAAATATGCAGTGTATTTCTCACTTCCTCACATCCACGTTTTGTTCTCTCCTTTAAACATTTTATAAACATGATGTGGATTAACTACAAGTTGAAAAAAATATCTTTACAGGCATGACAGTACGGAAAATGACCACAGTGAAAATGAAGATTATGGCCTTAACAGTGACAAGGTAACTATCTAAATGTAACCACTTTACAATTACATGTGTAATCCACTGACCTACATCATCGTCAATTTTGTCCAAAGGACATAGAGAAGCCACGTGGTCGTAAACGTGGTGTGACTTCCAGTGACGACACTGACAGTAAACCAAAACGCGGACGTAAAAAAGCAGTAGCTTCAACAACTGAACCTGAAGACCTGTGGGACGATGACACTAGACCAGAGGATGAACAGAACAGCCCTCCCAAAAAACGCAGAGGACGGCCCCCCAAGTCTGCCTCGGCCAATCAGGACTCTCCACCAAAAGGGAAGAGGGGCAGGAAGAAGGCAGCCCCTCCTCCTGAGGAAGAGGAGGATGAAGAAGAGGAAGAGGAGAGAGATGAGGAGATGGAGGAAGAAGAAGAGGAGGAGGAGCGCAGCAGTGATGTAGAGGTGAAGAGCAGAGGACGTGCTGCAAGAGGCCCCAGGCGGTCACAGGGGTAAGGCACATGTACTGTGTTTTTTGTGGTTGATGTTGTTACGATTTCAGATGGGCGGGGTCATGCTGGTGATTGAGTCCACAAATTTGTTATATACAATATTAATCCAGTGTATTATGCTCTATTGACCGTCCACAATTGCGACCAGCTATAATAGTCCATTATAGCACCACAGTTGGATATAATAATGAGATAAAACTTCTTTGGACCAAGTAGATGGATGCTGAGCTTTCTTTTTGATTTGTGTGAATTAGCTGAGTAAATGTACCATAAACCAGATTCAAATCTGCATTTTATAGGCTACCATATCCCACCATAGATTCTTCCATCTTCTATTTCACCCGCCTTCCATTTTGAAAAGAAAGATTTTAATTACAGTAAACGGATACAGTATTTGCTGTATCTGATGCACCTGTTTTTGATTTACAGGTCAGATTCAGCAGAGTCCACTCCACAGAAGAGAAGAGGACGCCCACCAAAGTCAGCACAGCCTGCGGCAAAGAAGCCAGCGTAAGATACAGTCCTTTTATGCCTACTTAGTGCAATAAAAGCATACATTTGAAGGAGAAATCTATCCAAACAATCAGTTGCTTTATTTTATAACAGATACTAATGAATAATATGCCTTATTATACTGCCTATTATTGAAATGAAATATTGAAATTTGCCTGGATTAAATGTATGCGTTTCTGGCCCAGGCGTGGTCGGAAAGCAGCAGCAGCTAAAGACGACTCTGAGGAAGAGGAGGAAGACGACGATGAAGAGCAGGAAGATGAGCCAACACCGAAGGTAGAATGTTGCATTATAATTATATACATTTTGAATAACAACGCATAAAATCAAATACACTTTTTTTGGTTAAACTTTAATATCAGTAGTGTACAAGGATTAAACTGAGATAAAATTAAGCACCATAAACTGTTGTAATGCAATGTTGACTTGTTGTGAATATTGAACATTTTATACAAATCAACCTACTTTAAATCATATTTTGGCTGCAAATCTTTGCTCAAATTCATCTTGAAATGAATGGAATTACACTTAATCAGAAGTGCACTACAAAGAGTGTGGTTTGGAGCATTTAGAAGCAAAAGGGGTGGGACAGAATTAGTTCAATAAACACATGCAATAGGAGATAGGGTGCCTCTGTAGCCAGGTGTGTTTCTCAGTGAGACTATCCTTAATCAAATAAAGTTCAATAACCTTCAGTTGATCTTGCCTGTTTTCTAAATTGATTAAAAAAATATGACACCCTTTTTCTTTTTCTTAAAATAATAAAATAATGGCATATCTATTTTTCCTCCTTCCCATAGGGTCGCAAGAAGGCAGTGGGCCGGAGAAGATGAATCTCCGTCAGCACCAGCAGGGGAGGCGCTTCTTGAGTTCACTCTTGTAGGAAAAGACGATACGAACATTATGAACTTTTTAAACTTTTTCATACGTTGACGCTCCAACTGTTACACAAGTTCACACTCTCGCATTCGCCATCAGTATCATCCTGCGCTGTGGGTTGTTGCATTGTGCTGCATTGTGCTGCCATTTGCCACATTAAATAGAAAATCTTTTAACAGAAAAACAAAAAAATCATTTGTAAATAGTCTCTTATGTCTGTTTCCTGTTCTGTTGTTGTTGTTCGTTGCTGACTGGGGGGATGTTGTCAAGCCTTATTTGCTTATGTTGATTCAAGTGCTCTGTTTGAAAGCAATATGTCAAATTCCCCCTTCTGTGTTCTATTTTAAGAGATTAATCTTTTTGTGATTGTTAATTGTGCATTTTACACTTAAAAAACCCTTGCATTTGTTTACAGCTCTGTATATTAAAGCCTTTTTTTACCATGTATGAAATGTCCAAATGTAGAGTTGAAAATTGTAGCGTGCCTGTCATTTTTTAGGTTAGCCTGACGTCATGCGCAGCTGTGGTTGTCGTAGTGTGTCACTGCTGTTAAACTTGGCTTCACATCCACCCAGTCAGACCTCTGTTGTATCAATATAATTCTCTATAAAAACTGATGCGTTTCTCCTTATTTCCTTCAGGTCAGTTTGAACCAAGGGCTAGTGATTCTCCATGTTGGTAAGAGTGCAGTCAGACATTGAAATATATACTAAATATGAATTTTATATTACCATATTTAATTATACAGCCATTGGATGTGTTCAGTGTTTTTAATAAAAGGCTTTATTATAATTGTGGTTTAGTCCAGAGAGGTCTAATAAAAGTGCTGTTGCTGATTAAAGAAGAAGTTATTATTGGTAAAATAGACAACAACAAAAAAAAGTCACTGTAGTACAAATCAGTTGCTTATATTAGTGGAAACGGTAGCATCACAAAAACTATATCACTCATTTAAATGTAATGGTGTCCTGCTGGAGTGCCCTGATCGTTTGCAGCAAGAATTACTACTCAAACTTTACTAAATTTTCTATACATTGTTCAAGATGGAAACATTTGGAGCTTTTTAATCTCTCAACATCAATTCCTCCTCTGCTTGTGTCCAGTATTTTAGTGTTGTAGCAGTTTGTCCATTTGGGATGTGAAGTTTCCAGTGCAGTTCAGTGGAAAAACGGCCACTCAACATGTTTAGTCACTTATGGTCCATGACCGTTACAAATCACTGCTGTTTACATGCAGCAAATGTAGTGTTAATGATTGCCAGTAAGCCGAACTTCTCATTTTTGTATACCATTGAGACTGTAGTATTTAACCCTCATGCACCCCTTTAAAATAATAACCTGTGCTCCTTTGTGACAATAATGTACATGGGAAAATTATTTTATTTTTAAGCAGTACAGATTTTTGTCCAACTTTTTTATATCATTGTCTTCATTTACTCCTGTCCTAATCATACATACCAAATAATATTCAATATTTTGACATTTTAACCCCCCCTTTTTTTTTCCCCCCTAATTTTAAGGTAGCTGGAGGTTGTTGGGGGATGTGTGTGTGTATGTTCACATACATGCGTCTGTGTGGGGGGTGTGGGGGGGTGAAACATTTGCATTGTGTAAAAATGTGTGAAAATGTAAATATTATGATCATGCTTGAAATGGTGGACCTAAAAAAATCATAAAAAAATCTCCAAACCCCCCAAAAACAGTCAAATGTAAAATGTTGAATACACTGACAGGAGAAAAAGTGAAATAAAATTGCAATTACTCTGCTTTTAAAAAATACATTTTCAGTGTTTATCTATAGAGGTGGAAACAATGACAGAATAAACCTGAAAATTTACACACACACAAGCACACACAAACTCACAAACTTTCAAAGACATTCAGTGTACTCCTAGAATTCACCCATATCATTTTAACCTCAAATATCTACATCTCTGGCCTTCAGTGTTGACTAATATTAAACTAAAACAAACATTTTTGAAGGGTTTTCAACATTAAAGAATGAAGAATAAATCTAAAAGTAAAAATATACTGGAAAATTATGCCAGTTGAATGGAAATCAGTGAGTGCGTATACATGCACATCAGTATCCCAGTTATGTTGCTGTCAGTCATGTCCCTGGAAATTGGGTAAAATAGCCACAAACTACTAAAATAAGAGTATTGGTACTTCAAAATACACATTTCTCAAGTCTCAGTAAAAAGTAGAAGTCCAGAAATTTATTAAGTAGTTAAGAGTAAAAGTATTCGGGGAAACTACTCTTCAAGTAACTTAAGTTAAAAATAACTGGACGAAACATCTGATTCGTCATTTAAAGTTGTGAGAATGAAAATGAAATAGTACTCATGTCTGGTATTTTCACAGTGGGAAGAAAGTACAATATCTGTAAAATAGTGACTCAAGTAAATGTATTAGGTCATAATACATTAGGTCATTGTAATCCTTGTGACAGGCCTGCCCTACACTCAGTGTATGTAACACGATTTAGGACAGTTATGAGTTATTTATGAGCTATTTTAAGTGATAAATACAAAAATGTTGGTGGTAAACTAATGTCTCCTACGTTTATTTAATGGGACCAAAATATACTTAAGGGCCACGGGTGTAAGTATTTTGATTATAGTCCGTTCAATTCACATGATATTGGAAAAAAAATACACAAACTGGCCAATTTTTTATGTTATTTGGTGCAATATAGCTAAATTTATGCACAAAAAAAAATAAAAAAAAAAAAAATCGATATACAAAAATTTACCAATGGGTGTACTAAAGAAGTGTGTATTCTGCATCCCAGGCAAACTCAGACATGGGGAGAACACGCAAACTCCACTCAGAAATATTTGGCCATCAAACCTATAACTTTCTGACAACTATATCCCAGTTTCCCCATCTTAGATATTTATATATTCGAGAGAGAACCTGGTGTTTCTAAGCAACCGGTCTCAGCCGGAGAACAGGAAGTTGAGATGACAGAACGTACAGAGCTGTTGCTGTTGCATATGTTTACCCCCTCTGAGGAGACATGACTGCTGCCCACTTGTTGACATTGTGTATTTCCTCTGGTGCAGTGATAAGATTATGTGTCAAAGACAAACAGATAAATAATTGAGCAGTTAGTAAAATTGTATTATAGGGACATTCTGCACCTGAGCACTGTGCATAAGTAATAACCAGTGTTGGGATGGTTACTTTTAAAATGTATTCCCCTACAGATTACAGATTACATCCCCCGAAATGTAGTTTGTAATCCGTTAAATTACTTAAAGTGAGTAACGTAATATAAATACTTTGGATTACTTGATTTGCTGTAGAGAAGAAAAGATGAGGAAACTGTAACATAAGATGTTTTGTCTGTTAAAAGAAAATGAAAAAGCCCAGACTTTACTTAACCAAATTAAAAATATTATTAATAGAAGAGGGGGAGGAGACATGGTCCACGCAACATGGTTTAGTCCTGTTAAATCCTGTTTTAAACCTGGTTTAGACCTGGGTTTAGACCTAGTTTTAGTCCTGGTTTAGAGTTGGTTTAGACCTAGTTTTAGACTTGGTTTAGACCTGGTTTTAGACCTGGTTTTAGTCCTGGTTTAGACTTGGTTTAGACCTAGTTTTAGACTTGGTTTATTCCTGGTTTAGACCTGGTTTATTTTCCGGCAATGAGTGGAATTACCAAAAAAAAAAAAAAAACGGGATATAGCCCAAAATGTGAAAACAGGAAAATACCACCGTGTAATCCATTTATTTCAACAAAGTAACTGTAATCCAATTACGACTCACTGAAACAGTAACTGTAACTGAATACAGTTACTCATAATTTGTACTCTGATTACGTAACTCCGGTTCATGTAATCTGTTACTCCCCAACACTGGTAATGACACATGTTCTTATTCCATGACCTGTATATACTAGTAACTTTTCAATGTCAATGTCAATGAGTCAATGAGAGTTGCTGACTTCAAAGGAATATATCACAATTTCCATTTAAATATTTTATTGATTATTTAAAATGACATTGATAATTGATCATCTTAAAATATTTGGTTCAACATAAAATAAATAGAAGTTAAAATGTGACGTACACTATACACTATACACTGTGGGCCCCATATTTATGAGCATGGGCAGTGATTGGGCAATTTATGTGAGTCCTAATTGGGTTTGGGTTTGAGCCAGGCAGTATAGTCCCCACACTCTGAGGAGAATCAGTGCTCCACACATTGTATAAGCTCCACTAGCCAATTATATTAGGTTGTTTTCTAGGTCCCATTAAAGTTAAATCACACTATATTTAGATGGTAACTAATAAAAAAGGCTACAAAGTTGGTGTTATTAATATTGCATGGTCAAGTTTGTGCAACCAACTAATAATAAAATGGGTAGGAAAAAATCTAAATGTCAAGAAAGTTTTAAATGTTTTACCTCACAATTTACAATAAAAATAATTGAATTTGGACAAGTCGACCACTTACGGTACTCACATTCCCACATTTTGTTTATAAACGACCGTGTTGCTCTGTTGCCCCTGTGTCACTGACCCCTTGGCTCGTGCACATGCAGTGACTGATTGATCTCTGTCGGGACCTTAGCCTGGAGACCACGGTGCGTCAGGTGCTCCGCGGCTAATCATTAACAATCTGTAGAGGTCCTCAGCTGGCTCCCCTCACCAGTGGACACAATATGGACAGGCGACTGGACAGACAACTCCTCACTCAGACATGAAACCATAGAACAAACCACAATGGGCGCGTTATTGCTCATTTGCGTTGTAGCCAGCGTTACCACTAGTGTCACCGCAAAACCCAACTCCGGTCTGAAGACGTGGAGACGGTTCAGTAAGCTGCCGTACCCGGGGGACCAGGCCTTTCTTTACGATACCTTCCCCGAGGGTTTCATGTGGGCAGTTGGCACGGCGGCGTACCAAGTCGAGGGAGCATTTGAGAAGGACGGCAAGGGGCTCTCCATTTGGGACACTTTTACGCGCGGTGGGAACAGGTTGACGATGGGCGACGTGGGCAGTGACAGTTATCACAACGTGCACGCAGACATCCGGGCCATAAAACAACTGGGGGTCACGCACTACCGTTTCTCCCTCTCCTGGGCGCGCATTTTTCCTAACGGGACACGGGGCAGCTACAACGAAATCGGCACCAACTATTACCGGACTCTCATAAAGAAGTTAAAGGAGATCCGCGTACAGCCCGTGGTGACGCTCTATCACTGGGACTTGCCTGAGCACCTGCAGCAAAGTCTTGGAGGATGGACCAACCCGCAGTTAGTGGACATTTTTAAGGATTACGCAGATTTCTGTTTCCACACGTTTGGGGATGATGTGAAGTACTGGATCACCATCGATAACCCGTTCGTGGTGGCCCAGCACGGGTACGGGACCGGGGTGGTGGCGCCCGGGATCAAGAACGACCCGGACCTCCCGTTCAGAGTGGGGCACATCCTGCTGAAGGTGACAAAACAATAACAATAATAATATTTTAAGCACATGTATGAAGTATAGGCTATTTGAATGTAAAGTCCAGCAAAAAATGTTTTCTTGACTTTCTCTGTATGGAATAGGCTACATGGAGAAACTGGAAGAAAGTGGGTTTACCAGGCAATTTACAAGACT